GTCATTTGTAGCGCTGACTTGTGATAGATAGCAACACCGCCACCGGGCTTGTTATCTCGATCGATATGTAGGCATGTATAGCTGGGGAATTGCACTGGTAATGCTTTCGCTGAGTACCATGTTTCTGTAAACATTAGTACATCGAACTGAATTTTGAGGGACGTCAAAAATATCTCGATATCGTCTTTTTTATTTTGCAAGCTTCTTGCATTCATATGAAAAGTGGAAATGCCAATTTTATCAACAATGTCAAGTTTGTTAAATGTGTCTGTGTTGTAATAGCCACAGGGCTCTTCTGGTTCAGGAAAGTTGAATTCTACGTCTGCCATGGCGTCCTAAGTAATTTTTGCAATGTCTGATACAGTTTTTATATCTATAATCCTAGAGTTTTCTGCTTTTCTAGCATGCACCTTTCCATTCCTTGTCCATACAAATTTCCAGTTTTTATTCTTTTTTGCCTTGATCGCTTCACTCAAGAGCATCTTGTTCAGCATAGTGAGATGTTCATTTACAAATATTGGAGACGGTTGACCGGGAATATTGATCATCGTGGATGTTAACCGTTTCTTTTTAGCAGCATAGAATACTGCGTCTCTTTTTTGGCGTGTGGTAAACTGCACTACGATATGTTGCTGGCCGGGTTTTTTTGTGGGCACCCTGTGACAGGTGTCCACGTCTGGCAGATCTAGAGGGACTGACAGTGCTTCAGACACCCGTTTCACCACATCACGAACATGTTCGTTTGGGCTGAGAGGAATACCTTTTATTTCCAAGTTCTTTAGTCTGCTGTACTGCTCCAGCTCAGCAATTCGGTCCATCGATTCCTCTAGGTTGCTCCTCAGTTCCTTGTTCTCGCTGAGTAATTGCTGATTTGCGGTATTTAGCTGGCCTAACTGTGCCTTGATTCTTTTTAGCTCTCCGATGGCCACCTTAAACTCATCAACTGATTTGGAGCAAAAATCGGTGCTCTCCTTTAGGTCGGCGATTTCCGATTTTAGTTCCTTCTTCAGCTCATCTATGGCAGATAAGACTGTGCGCGTATCCATTTTTAAATTTTCCTTTAGGAACAAGCGTGAGTTAAGAACAACAAAGATGCATAGACATAAAATCAAGAATAAACAAAAGTAAAACAGTTTGCTGTAGTTGTGCAGTCCAGCGGTTACATAAAGATAAGCATACTCGCGCCTCTTCGGGTCAACATACCTGACGGCAAAAGACATAACTGGATATAAAAATTGTTACCTTTCAATGTTACGTTCTTGTGACAACCATGTAAATGCGACGACGCGAAAGAATAACCGATGCTGAACCTTAAGCTGTTACTATGTCCCAAAGAATGTCTTCATTCTTTGGGACAGAATACAGATGCCAATATGAAGACGTTAAGAAACAAGGGCAAAAGTTAATAAATTAAAACATCTGTATTTTTTTGTCCCCAACAAGATTAATATTTGCACTGAGCAATATATCACTTTTTTATCAACCTGACCCGATCGGCAAGAATTAACCATCAATCAATGCCCCCACGGCTTTGAGGGTAGTTAAAATACAGTTACGGCGAACTCGCTTAAGCCGAACTCTCGGATATGCCAAACAAAGTAAGAACATTTGGTTGGTTTACCATAGACGCAACGCAAAAAAAAATTGTTTAACACGAACCACTTTGCGCGCGCATTTTTGTTAACTCAAGCTTCCATAGGTCCCTTTTGCGATGATAATGCACCGACGGCGGCGCCACCGTGGTGTTCGGGAAGGGGGGAGGAGGAGGGCGCCGGAGTGGCGGGGAAGACACGGGTGGTCGGGCCGGACAGGAGCAGCAGACACAAACACTCATGCACCGCGCGAGCGCGAGCGTACTTGAATACGAATTACGGTGTAAACAAAACTAAACTCCTCTGTCGGTTTCGATTGACGAATCTATGTGCGCAACGGCAACGAAGACTCGCCTGCTGGCTCGGCAGTTTGTCCGTTTCACTAGTCTGGTTTTGATTGACATCAGCTCTACGCTCGGCCATCGGCGCTGGATTGAATCAAAATTTAAAAAAACGGATGTGCAAGTCTCAGGTGGAAATATTTGAGGAGGTGAAAGCCGCAAAGCTGTCGAAGACGGCGATTGCTCGTAAGTTTGGCATCGCCAAAAGTATGTTATCAGGCATAGTGAAAGATGGAAAGAAGATATTAGATGCCTACAACGATGGTGACTTTGCACCAAAGCGAAAGAGAATGTGCAGAGCCGCACATGTAAACCTGGAAGCAGTTCTCATCTGATGGATTCGGCGAGCACGGAGCGACAACTTGCATGTGAACAGAACCGTCTCACGCGCCAAAGCAGAGGAAATTTTACAGTGCTTGAACATATATTTCCATGTAGCGACGGCTGGCTTGATCGCTTTCGAAAGCGACACGGACAAGTGTTTCGCTCTATCTTCGGAGAGGCCGCAGCCATTGACAAAGTGGCTTGTGACGACTGGAGGCTAATGAAGATGATGCACTTGCTAGAAGGGTATGAGTCAGATGACATCTACAATGTTGACAAAACTGCACTGTACTACCAGCTTCATCCAGAGAAAACACTGTGCTGGTGACGTGTGCACAGGAGGCAGGCACAGCGAGCTGCAAATTACCATGCTTGCTGGTGCTAATATGAGCGGGACAGACAAGCTCCGACTTCTAGTAATTGGCAGGGACAAGTCTCCACGCTGCTTCAAGGACGTGAAAACTTTGCCGGTGAGCTATACGGCCAACTCCAAGTCGTGAATGACCCAAGCACTTTTTGAGCAGTGGCTGTGCGAGGTGGATCGCTACTTCGTAAAAGAAAAGAGGAAGGTCCTCTTCCTTGTCGATAACTGTCCCGGGCACAGGAAGGTCAGAGGACTTCTGGCTATCCGGCTCGAGTCCTTGCCTTCAAACACAACTGCAAAACTGCAGCCCATTAACCAAGGGGTAATCAGTTCTCTGAAGAGGTACTACTGACGATCGCTGCTTTAATGAATGCTTCTGTGCATGGAAAATGGCAAAGAGTACTCGGTGAATCTCTTGAGTGCCCTCCATCTTCTGTCTGATGCTTGGGATCAGGTCACTGAAGCTACGATTACAAGCTGATTCCGCCATGCTGGATTTATAAGGCGGAGCTGCTCACTAGAAGCTTCATGTAAAGGTGAGGACTTGTCGGAGTACACTGACCCAGAGGATGCCAGCTTGGCATCTTTATCGAACTGTAGCAGTGTTTTGTTGGACATAGTGGCATACATTGCTGTTGATGACCCTGTGGCTACTTGCAGAGCAGACAGTCTTGAAACTTTGATAGAGAAAGTGCCAAGGATGGCGAAGACAACTGCGAAGATGTGGCCCCGGAAGCACCACAGGTGACATTTGATGCAGCAGATGCTGCTGTAAGTATGCTACTGCAGTTCTTCCTGGAACAAAAAGGTCCTGAAAGTTTTCTCACAAACATTGGCCACATGACGTCTTTCATTGCAAGACACCGATTTGCACAGAGGAGGGGGCAGTCTAAAATCACCAAATGGATCGGTTCCCCCCCCAGTGGTGTGTGGAACATTATTTTTTTAATGCGAAAGCATTAACTGTCTCATGAAGGGAGCTGACTTCATCAGCTTTGAAACTACGCCAAACAGCACCTTAATGAAACCACGCACAAAGCTAGCCAACGGCACCTTTTACACTTCAGTCCCATTGGCTGGCGAGTGCATTCTGTGTTTATTGGTCAATAGCAATTGAGACATGCCAAGCATGATAATTAGGGCACTTCTGTTGATATGAACATCTGGTAAGTCAAACAAATTTTCAGGGTCCCTTCGTGTTCGTCTTAAAGGAGTCTACTGTAAATAAATAAATAAAATAAATAAAATACCAGATGAGTTCAGCAATGCAGAATTAGGTAAAAAAAACATTTTCAGACATTCACTTTTCCCTCGGGCAATTCATGATTGGAAGCGAATGTCATAAAACTGCCACTCTTTCATCACTCACAAGCTTTGATAGCAAACTTCATCAGGTATATGTTTATATCGCATTTTGGGTGTTTATTTATTGTGCATCTCTTACGAAGACTTCCACTTCCGCGAAGGCTCTCAACTGAGAGCCTCAATATTGATTAAATAAATAAATGAATAAAAAAAAAAGTGAAAGCCGTTTACAACTCCCTGTAACACCGAATTAGAGCGCAGCTCTTGAGGAGGAGGAGGGAAGGGTACTGGGGGGGTGAAGTGACCTGGGGGGGGGTCATGTGACCTTGGGGGGTCACGTGACGATGCCGATGATGTCATCAGTGACGTCACTGATGAGGTCATCAGTGACGATGACGATGCGAACTCCGATGACGTCATCAGCGATGATGACGATGACGATGCGGATGTCGGTGACGTCATCAGTGACGTCACTGATGACGTCATCCGTGATGATGACAATGACGATGCAGATGCCGGTGACGTCATCAGTGACGTCACTGATGACGTCATCAGTGATGATGACGATGACGATGTGGATGCCGGTGAGGTCATCAGTGACGTCATCAGTGATGATGACGATGACGATGCCGGTGACGTCATCACTGACGATGACGTCATCGGGGAGGTCACATGACCTCGGCGGGGGGGGGGTCACGTGACCCTGGGGGTGGTCTCGTGACCTCGGGGGGGGGGGGGGGGGGGGGGGGGGGTGTCACGTGACTTCAGGGGGGGGGGGGTCACGTGACCTTGAGGGTCACATGACTTTGGGTGTCACGTGACCTCTGGGGGTCACGTGACCTTGGGGTGACCTTGGTTACGCCGACGCCGCTCAAGCCGGGAACGGGCCTCTAAGAGCTGCGCTCTAATATGGTTAGTAGGTGCCAGCCATATAACAAATCCTGCGTTAAAAAAACCACCGTGCTCAGCAGTGGATTAGTACTGGCAGGCAACGAAGTGGGACAGCCCCTAACATGGCCGTAGAAGCACACTGCTCTTTTGCACCAACCCTCGTCCAAGCCCCGTTCCGCTCACCCCTGTGGGAGGCCTCCTGCTCGGCCCCGGCCAGGGTGCCCCACCAGTTGAAGTCCCGCCAGTCGAGCAGGAGCTGGGGGAAGTCGCGCAGCTGGCAGGTGACCGCTTTGATACTGCCATTCACCTTCCGGCACCACAACGTGGAGAACTCCAGCCCTTCCTCTGGGTACGGACTGGAAAACAGTGAAACACGGCGTTCGTTCCTGGCAGGGCTCAACACAACGTGTTTATTTGTCACCATTTCTCCACCCTGCTTGGTCGCACCTCAAACACAAAATCTGTAAAGGCTCAACGAAGAAAACAACGGAGCAGCAAAAGAACATAGAACATGCACTTATCTCAGCTGAATTTCTTCAACCTTACCGATAGAAAGGGGGCCATAGCATGACTAGTGTCTGCCGTAATCCCGTAAATGTTTCCTCCCCCGAGAGATTGCCCATCCCTTTTTTCTGGCTAAATATCCGTAACATAAAGATTCCGAAACATCGCCCACCTCCGATTCCCGTCGGAAATTACGTGACGTCTGACAAAAATCGTATCAACCGCGCGATCTGCGGTACCAATACGTGTGACAAGTCAGTTCGTAGTGGGTTTTCACGCCTTTGTCCGCGATCTGCGCACGCAATGTTGGTTCCTGTGACATGCGAGTTCCTAGTGAGTTCTCACGTTTTTTGTCACCGATCTGCACATGCAAATATCGGTTCCCATGGCACGCAAGTTTGTACGTAGTCACTTTGTGCATGTTTATCACACTGCGAAACACAAATCTGCTGCATTTGCAGACTGTGGTATCCTTTCCAATGACATAGGAGTTCCTAGCAAATTCCCGCACGTTTCTCGCATTGTGAAACGCGAATTTGCTGTGTCCGCGATTTGCGGTATCAGTTCCCGTGTCATGTGGTTTGTAGCAGGTACCCGTGTGTTTATCATTATTTGTTTATAAGGTTTTGCTATCATCCCCAAAAATAGCCCCCCTCACGTTTTTCATTTTTTATCTCTTCATTTTGGGTGGGTGCCTTTAAAGAATTTTACGATATGTTAATAACCTTTGCAATATTTTTATAAGATAAAATAAAAATAAACTTATGTACTAAATGCCGAACAGCCTATTGAATTTCTGGGGTTTGCGTTTTCAACTGACTTATGAAATTAATAATTGGCACAAGCATATTGGCATTTCTTGAGCAAATATCCAAAACATCTAATCATATGGCACTACCTAGTGGCACTGCTAACCACTTGTAGTACATACTGAGAAATTGAAACATGCTATATATGCAGTTCTACTACACACCTTACTAGATGTACACAAGAAACGATTTTCGAAAATCCCGAAGGGCTCAGGTGAAGCGAATTATGGGAATACCCTGTACGCTCCCCCTTGCACCTGCAGCATCTACTGTGACCACATTACAATAAAGACAGCAAAAGAGAGGGGGCAGTGCAGTTGCTCGTCTGGCCTCACCCGCTCACCTGCGTTTTCTCCCTCACCTCCTTTGTCTGCTACAACCAGTTCTATACAGGCAGTTGCTGGCATTCTTTTCAGCATCACGGTGAATTCTTTGCACTTTGCGAAAAAGCCTCTTGCACTTAAACTTGAAGGCAAGTCAATACTCTTGCTCTGCTAAACTCGTTCCAATTTTGAAAGCCACAGGGAACCAGTTTCTGTTCCTAGTCCCCTTTTTCCTTTGCAAGACTCTCCGCATGCTTCCTCAAGCTCCATGCACTCCCCACCACCCCCTAAAGGTGCCTCGTCCGTTCTAGTCTCACCCCGTGTTCAAATGCACGCATATGGTTAACACAGTGCGGCGGTGAAGTGGGCAGTGCTGCACGTCACTGATTGAGTACTGGTGAACAACTTCAATTTCCGTGTCACAAATTTGACAGTCAACAGCAGCCCTTGACTATGTTTTTTTTGGTTTGGGAAAAATGAGCTTTATCATTAAGGAAACTGATGCTCATACAAGTCTGAGAAAAATTACAATGCAGACAGTCAAGAGACCTATCTATATGGTTCAACTAGTATGGTGCCTGAAACGCATGTTTGACGGGTGCGATTACTGCGCTATTGTGCCCACACAGAGAAAGGGGTAGCGAAGCAGCAGCAAACTGCGCCACAGGAGCCGGTGTGTCACGATGTCAAATGTCACAACATCGGCGGTTGGTTGTATAAATGCCGACAAAAAAATGACCGCATCTCCACGTGGTGAATGATGTTGATTGGGGCGAAGCTCTGATGATGCTTGTCTGCGTAGACGCTGAGCCGCAGCATGCCGAGCCTTTCGTTCGTTTTCATCCATGTCAGAAAGAGAATGAGTGGTATGAAATGTGGTTATATACGCATTTCAGCATCTGACCGCAGGGCCCTCTTGTCCATAAACGTTGAGCCAATGCATGCAAAGTTTAACGCGATTATATACGCATTTGGCCGCAGCGCCCTCTCCTGTATAGACTTTGAGCGGCTACATGCAATGTTTCATCCATGACATCCCCAGCTCTTGAGTTACTACCACATCTCAGAGCCGCCTACTCGTCCCGCAGTCGTGGTCGAGTGGTCAAGGCGATGGACTAGAAATCCATTAGGGTCTCCCCACACATGTTCAAATCCTGTCGACTGCGCAAACATTTTTTTTTTTCATCATTTTTTTTGCTCTACACGAGCACTTAGCACGTGAGCTCACGAGCACGAGCACAAGCACCAGCAAGATCGATGCGAGCACGGACACCAGACGGGCAAGTCTAGACCCTAAGGAGCTTCGCCCCTAAAATGGGAGCGGACAGAAGGATTGCTGTCGATGTGGCGTCCCGTCTCGTGTCTGCTTTGGTCTCCATCGACTGTCTGGTTTCAGAGCGACGTTTATCAGAACAGGTGTCTGCGGCATCAACCTCCACTGCTGCGTCTCCACCGAGATCACAAGAGGCGACAACACGACACATTTGTGAGACCACTTTCGAGAACATGGTAAACATGCAAGTTGAGAAATGTTCCGGGTGTTATACCGTAAAATCCATTAAATTGCCCAAGAGATTGTCTATCCCAATTTCCTGGCCAATTATCCACAGGCGAAACTTTCCGAAACAACTCTGCCTCCGATTCCTAACGGATGAACCGCTCGATTTGCGGTATTGATACGTGTGAGAAGCGAGCTCGGAGTAGGTTCCCGCACGTTTATTGCACGACCCGAGTTTGCCGTGTCTGCAATCTGCGCATGTGGTGCCAGTTACCGTGACATGTAAAACCGTAGAGGGTTCCTGCATAGTTATTGCACTGTAAAACGCGAATCTGCTGCGTCCGCGATCTGCAGTAACAGCTCCCGTGACACAGGGGCTTGTAGCAAGCCCCTGCGTGTTTATCACACGGAACCCAAACCTGCGGTGGCTTTTTCTGGGCCGATACCGCAGTTCGGCCCAGGAACAGATCTGCGGTATCGGTTCCTGGGCCGTGTGGTTGATGGCGGATGCTGTAGCATTTATCCATCATTTTGGTTTTATAAACTTTTGCTGTCTTATTTTAAAACACCGCCCACCCGATAATTTTTGCCATTTATCATTTCAAAATGGGTGGGCGTTCATACAGGATTTTGTGGTAGGTCACACAAATCCTGCCTGTGTGATGATAACAGAAACAAGATTTTTCAATCTTCAGACAGTTCATTAGCGCTACAGCTTATCCACTTCAGTTTCTCTAGCAGCCAGCAGCAGGCAACAGAGGGCAGACAAATGATATGCAAAAAGCCTTGACCTCTCGGGATCCAGGTGCTGAATGAGTTCGACGACCCTCTGAGTGCCGTGGTAGGAAGGGTCGGCCAGGGCCAGCAGCTCGAACTGCTCAAAGTGCCAGCGCACCAGACGACTGCGCAGGGGGGCCCCCGAGTAGAGCTGCTTTGACCGCTGGATGTAGATGTCCGCATTCTTCTTGGTCAGCGTGGCGTACAGCTCGTTCACCTTCGAAGCTGCGGGAAGTGGCAGCAGTTTTCACTTTAACTGCACCCCAACAGTGTTTGCTCATTTCTACTTTGTGGGCAACCTGAGGATCCAAAGCGTTGGACCAAGTTGCCCGCATGCTAAATTGTACATGAGAATTTTACATTGCGAGGAAGCCAAATGCAATCGGCCATGCGTGCCGCACTCCACCGCTGATAAAAGGCCGTCGCAGCGTATGCGCGGGGCTTTTTGGGTCATGGTGCATGGTGATAAGAGTCAACAAATGACTATGTGTTGACGAACTGGTACGTTGTGTCATTCTCTGAGACGGGTAGCAGCAAGAAAAATCCTACAGATGGAGCTCACTGGCCCCTTTGTGGTGAAAAATGCTCATGGACGATTTAGCATGCGGGCAGCATGATCCAACGCTTTGGATCCCCAGGTTGCCCACACAGGGGTGAAACAGATGAAACAGGTTTTGGAGAAATTGTTGGAGCAGAAAAATCTGAATTTTGGAGCAGCTTGGGAGAACTAAATTCTCGTTTTGGAGCAGCAGTTTACGCACCTTGGAGCAACTTCAGAGCAGAAAAGTCTACAGTTTGAAGCAGATTAGGAGCAGAAGATGTTAGAGCAGCTTATCAGCAATTTAAATCATAAAAAATCTTATTTAAATCACATAAACCAGATTTTTCTTTTTTAATCGTTACTTTTTTCCATCCTGGTTCCAGTATCATCAGCGTCGATACGCACCGAGACAAAATAGGAAATAACAAAAGAACGGAAAAGGCAAACCCGAGTCCATTGCGCATAGATGAGAACAAGAAACACAGGCTTGCTGCAAAGTCAGGTGCGCAGCGGTACCTCAAGCTTATACGAACTGGTGCCAAAGCGCATGTAGTGCGAACCTTTTATAGCGGTGATTCGAGAGTATGAACAAGGAAGCATGGTTTACTACAACCAGACATCAATCGGACGCTCGTAGAAACCACGTGCAGATAGGAAAAACTCCCCACATAAGTGAGTCCCAAGGTAAATTGGTAGGAAAGCTATGAGCAGCACATGCACGCTAAATATGGGCGTGTGACCGATTCATTCGATTGTTCACAGACTAGAAGCACGTGTGGGATAACCGAAAGTACTCCCGGCGCCGTCCATTTTGACGAGAAGATTACGGACACGAATGTACAATTACACAATGGAGGTGCTCAATAGCACTTCTAAGAAAAGGTCTATCCCCAAAACGCAAGAAATACTTGCTCATCTTGATAGCCTGAGCGTCGTACCTCTTGCGGCCAGACAGCGAGACCTCGTGACAGCACACCGGTAGCATGCAGTCACAAATGACAGCGGAAATTACAGTGATGTTCCATACCAAGTCCAAGAATTCCCTTTCTTAGGTTCAAAAATTTTTGAGGTACTTTTTCCCCGCAAAATTTTGAAATATCCCTGCATATTTCCCTGCATTTGATGCCTTTATTTTCGCATCAGCTGATTTCTGTGGCCATGCAGGCCACTATGCACGCATTTTACCACAAAAGCTCCGTGAAATTGCATGTTTAAAGAGAAGAAAATGTTACTGCCCTACCGAGAATCCCAGTACAACTTTTCGCTATGTGGGTTACGGAACTGGGATTTCAGGTTTCCAGTAACAATTCCAGTTAGATTTCTAGTTTTATGAGTGAAAATTTATACTGGCTTCTTGGTAAGGTGGTCAGTTTATACTTCTATTAACTAAATAATATACCATTTAGCAGTGTTTGCTAACGTACATCTAAAAAGTACTCGGTGTAAAGTACAAAGCAAATGAGAGGTTACATACTTCAAGTAAAGTAGTAAGTATATTGGGTGCAATTTACTTCAGGTAAAGTACTATAAATATCATGTACTTCAAAAGTAAATTACAAGTACTTTTTAACATAATCTTTCATGGGGGTAATCGAGGGTGCATCAGTTATTTTCCAAAATAAAGTAGCCACGGAGTACTCATCTCACTTATAAGGCACTTATCTGCATCGGTCTTATAGCCGCCATTACTTCACTCAAAGAAATTACCCATTGACATCTTGAAAAACAATAACGTGTTTTTACATAACAATACACTTTTCTTTTTCTCAAATTTGGAGAATGTATTGAAGTCGAAAGTTGCACTTTTGCTCAAAAAGTACCAGAAAAAATTACTTCAAATAATGTACAAGTACATACGCGGAGAATGCACCTCAAGTTAAGTAGAAGTTTCCTCAACCTACTTCAAAATGAGTCGTTCAGACACCTTTTTCCTGCACCACAACTTTCTTTCTCTTCTTAAAACTTTTGGACCACTTGACTGTTTAGTGTGTTTAGCTCCCTCTAAAGCTTCTCTCGGATTCCCTCAATAATCCTTCAAATTCCCTGCAAACGTGTTAAAATTCCCATTTCCCTTTTCACCAAAATTGAGACCGGAAATTCAATGAAAAAGGGAAAATTCCCTGCATGGAACATCACTGGCAGAAAATAGTAGGAAAATCGGGAAACAACCACGTAGCATAGGTAAAGAAGGGTACTACAGCTGAAATCTTCGAATCCGGCGGTTGTTTGCGCCGCCCTGTACCCGTGCCGTGTACTTTACTACAATGAGATTGAATGTTGCCAACCAAGCTTTCGTTTCCCGCTAAATCTAGCATCGCCGCAAACATTTTTTTTGTTGTTGTTTTTGAGCTACTTTGGCGCAGTGTGGCGCAATTTCAACCGATTTCGCGTTTTTGGCGCAACAAGGCGCAGAAAAATGGGTTTGTATCAAAATGACGCAATTGGCGCAGATGTCACTCCCCTGCCCACAACATCCAGACCAGACCAGAAGCAAGCAAACCGGTTTAGAGACAAATTCGTGAGCAGAGTGTAAGAACAATGTCAGAAGAGTCGGATTCTATTAAGGTGGCGATGAGGTAGAAATGAACTGACTGAAAATGGCTAATTGGGCTAGTGTAAGGTAGAAAAATTGAGCTGCTGCCATTTGACCACGCCTTGTTCCAGAATGCCAGGAGTAGAGAAGTTAGAGCCGCTCAATTCTGGAATGAGCCGGGAAGCGTACAGGGAGCAGGTGGAGCAGTGCTTCATTGACAATGACACCAAGAAGAAAAAGTGTCTTACTATAACTTGTTGTGGCTCTGCAACGTATATGCTGCTCCCGGAATACAACGAAATTTCGGCGCTCAGTTTTTGGTCTATATGTGTTTAAAAAAGCAGCATCACATCGAACATTCCAATATCTTGTTAAAAAAGTCACGAAAAGGAATTTTAAAACGAATTAAACGATTAGCAAAGAGCACCTGGTGGATGTCGCTAACGCCTCGCTTGTAATGCGCATCTAGGAACCTTGACAGCTAGTGACGGGGGTTGTCTCGCCTCCGGCCACGACGAGAGAAGAGGGGCAGGAGGAACTCCCCTCTTCCCGAGAATGCCTTTTGTGTGTCGCAGAAGTCGCTATTGTCCCCCTACAAGATTACAGAAGATTAACCTGTCACTCAAAATTTGTACAAAAGCAGCCGCTTCGGTGGCTGGAACGACTAGGCCATCCTCTCGACGTCAGCCTCGCCGTAGCTTTGCTCGTCCTGAGACGACCTACGTCACGATTGCATTGGATGTCATGTGGTCTCCGCTGGGCCTTCTCCGACCGCTTGCCAGAGTGGGCCGTTTATAACGAAAAATACAGCCACCAGGCTCAAAATACAAACGTGCGATTGTCATTTACGGATATTGTGGATCGTATTCAACCTATTTTTGAACACGACGGGAATATTTCAAATTTTGTTGAAGTATCCCTTTAAATGAGAGATAGTGACTGCACTCTATGAAGTGCGAGATAATCCTGCTTGCACACTGAATGTTACTGTTAATGCTACCTTCAACTTGAGCACAGGCATGAAATGCTCCAAATAAGAAATCCGGGCGATGTTTGAAAACACAAATGCTTAGAAAGCACCACTGTAGTCGAAGTAAACAAACACGACGACACAGGCGTTTCTGCCGTCTTGAGAGTGCCGCCACAACATCGCCGCACGAGTAGGTGGATCTTCCCTTCTAGTATGTGCTGGGTTATTATAGTGACACACAACGAAAATTCACAGTCAAGGATAGTGCTTTTACACGGAACGATGAGCTTCTACCATGTTGTCTACGTCGACGATCAGAACCGACGCCATGTATGCGGATAGAAGCAGCCGGCCGGCCGGCCCGCGACCGGCATGCAACGCGCGCGAACACTTCTCCTCGATCTGCGATTGGTCTGTCGTTGCGGTTGTTTCCAACGTTCCCAACGCAGCGGAGGGACGCACGCACGTCAACGACACGTGCGTGCGTCCCTCCGTCACTATGGCAACTGAAGCCTCTCTCTTCGCTTCTCCCCGCTTCTTCGAGCAACCTCCTTGTCCCGCGAGTGCCGCTTGCGGCTCGCGCCGTTATCTAGTGTCGCACAGGGAAGCGTGCTCTCTGCGTCGGTCAGTCGGCGCGGTCGCCGGGCTGTTCCGAAAACCGCACTATAACCGGTATTTCCCTTCGCGCGCCTGCATTTTAAGCGGTATGTAATTACATGGAGTTCTATGGGAGGCGAACCGGTGGTTTAAAAAAGCCGCGTTATACCCGGTCCTGCACTATAAGCGGTTACATTGTAAGTGGTCTATACTGTACTTTGTTATGTTAAAAGAGGATTATAAACTGCATCATTCCTCTAAAATCAGTCACTGTTGTACTGATGGCACAATTGCTGCTGCTCAGATTTCCACGAAAACTAGGTAAACTGAGAACATTTTTTATGAAATCTCTTTCTGTTTGTAAACTGGCTCTTCTCACTTGCACAGAATGTGAAGCTCTCTATAGAAATCAATTTGAAAGGAACTTGGGATATATCGAGCATTTTGAAATGAATGGCAGAAATCAGGGACTTTAAACAGCAAGCAGCCGCTGCTTGATTGGTTAATTTGGTCCTAATATCTTAAAATTAAGTTCATTTGCAAAAGCTAGGCAATAAAACATTATTTTGCTCAAGACAATGGAAACGAGAGGAAGCTTGTTGATACAGACATAACTCCCTAATATGGACTTCATTAATATGAACACCTTGTTATACACAGATAAAATTGTCAAGGATCGCCCGGCGCACAATTCCCAGAGCTGCAACGGTCTCTACAGGAGTGTGTGAAAACATGTCAGCAAAGCCACCAAGGATAATTCATTTGTTCGCGCTTGTCGATGCGGATGTCCCCATTGTCCTTATTTGATGACTTTGTGTGCGGCCAGGGTAAACACGAAGCGACGTCAGAAAGGCACTTCGGGAAACGCCGATGACTGCGGAGGCACAAAACATCTTACGGCTGCTTCAAACCTAAGTGGAGTGCAGCAGCGATGACAGTGTTTTTGCAATGCCTGGAGCAGTTCGAGCAGAACTGATGCCCGGATCGAATTATCGGCAAACTCCCCCTCAATATATTTTTTACTCGGTAAAGCTGCCGCTTGTCGTTTATAACGAAGGTTTGTTAGATTAAATATACGGTCAGAGTGTTCCTCAGCGTTCCCATCCATCTGGAAGGCTGCTGGTGCTATTTTTTCAGCTCTACTGCTTTTATTGAATTACTGCTTATATAAAAAATTTTTGCTGTCCCATTAACTTCGTTATAACGAGGGATTCCTGGAATTGGAATACTAGACGACACTCAACTGCTTACCTGGAAGCATGAGATGAGTCTTTCGGAAGGTTTCAATCTTCTCATCGAGCATCTTTTTTCTCTTGAGGCTCTCGTGGTACTCATCCTCTAGCAGCTGCACAAAGAAATAAGATTTTTAATGCATAAGGGTCAAATAGTTAAAACACTCAAAAGCAAAAACGAAAAGCAAAAACTTTACCTCATAGTTGTTCCTCAGTTTGACTTCGAAGGGATCATCTCCAAGTTCCACAGTCAAATTCTTAAAAAAGAAAAAAAGATTACAAATTTTTAGGTTTCTGGAAGTGTAGTCAAATATGTAGTGCCAGGTAAATGATTGAAATTAGGTGCATATAATTCCGAAATTCCATAAGAATTAAGAGCCATTTCAAGTGCAGCCACATCACCAGAAACACATCTCACATCCTTTGGACCAACGCCACCTACCTAATTGATTCGTCAAGCAAGCATTCCCTATAATCTAAGAAGGTGAAAGGGAAAGCTACACAGGTGAGTAAAGCATTAAATTGCACGGCCACAAGAGCTTCATAAACAAAGCGAAAAATTCCTGTAAGTTTTGGATGGCACCTTGTTTGACACATTTTCGTTCCAGAAAGTCTTTTCTCAAGCATTTCCATACTTGATGGGGAAAAAAAAAAAGATGAACTAGCCTTATGCTGTGACCTAATTCTAACAGGTGCAGAAGCATACATATAACATACATAAAAATCTGTTTAACAAGCTTGTCTTCACCATCGAGGGTATTGCAGAGTGAGTGCAAATGAGCAGTCCTTCCTCATGCACAACCCGTTGGCAAATGGGTCCCAATTTTACCAACCTTGGCTTTGATGGAGAAATCGGACGGGAGAGGAGAATCTTCGGTGAAGGGCTTCTTGGCTCTCTTGTGAACTAACTTGATCCATTTCACAATGTTGACGGCCTTGAAGAAAAACACAGAGTAAGGTTGAGCAGTGCCTTTCCTCCAACCAAACTTGGCGGTCTCGATAGGGTATCAGTGTCTAAGAAAAGAATACCTCTTCACTGAAGACCTCCGCAAAGTTGTACTGGTATGGAAACACCACTTGCATTTCGTCAATGACAAGGGTCCTACAAGGAGACAGGAGAAAAACATTATAACCAGCAGAATTGCTAAAAGCAACGTTCCATCCCCCTCTACTGGGATGTGGCTCGCACAAAGCGGTTCAATTGTAATTCTATACTATGTATGTTGTGCTTACTACACCAGCACCAGTTGTTGAAAAATAAAACAAAGAAGTAGGTTTTGTCTTATGCTTCAACTCTTAAAATGTCCATGAGACACTGAATACTTCCACTCCATGGCTACACACTACACTAGAGGCTACACACCACCTTTTGCACCACTAATTTGTTAAAAAAAAATTGTTGTGCAATTGATGAAGCTAGGCATACTTTCTCTCTAGTGCTCTAAGGGGAAAATGAAGTGAATTTACAGTTTGCAGTTGACAATGGTATACTTCCAAAGCTGCCAATACAGTGATGAATTCAAAATAGGTTTTACAGTGTCGGAAACCAATGAAACAGCACCAATAAAGAATAGTATCGATGGCGACCCCATCACGCAATGGAAAGTGAACAAAAGCTGCCGCAGCAACACAGTCGAAGTGTGAAGATGAAGGAAAGGGTGGCTCAGATGGACGTACAGTCACAATGGAGGCACGTGCCAACTCATGTTCTTGACTACTGGAGAATGTTTAGAACAATCAGTCAACTATGCCATCAGATTTGGGTGATTGTTGTAGAATTATGCGAAAAGGGATGAAGGTGAGGATTACACAAACATTTTGTTTCTCCTAATAGTTTTTTTTTCCTCTTTGAAGACATTTTTCTTTACAAAAAAGTGCTAAAAAAAAGATATTGGTGTTTTTATAGTTCTTACAATTGTAAAACATTAAAAAGGTTGAACTTGTCTTTAGTGTTTTAGGCAGAGCAAGTGTGCACCAAAATCAAGATGAAGCTGTTTAAGTCTGAGGTGGGTGCTTGTTTAAAAGGCTGCATCTATGCACGCTTCCTCCACTTTAACATTTCAAAAATACAAGTGAAGCAAAGCTCATACATGAGTGCCCACTCTACATTTGACGACAGCCGAAAACTAGCCTGGTTGAAGACATCTGTTCATAAAGAACTCTACAATTCTATCCAAGCATGCCAGCATGCCTCGGACAACTTGGGAACAACTGCATGACATAGATCATGTCTCTACTATGCAATGAATACTGCAAAAGGACATTAAGGAACTGTGAACTTGCAAACAATCAGACAAACGAAAACTAGAACCCCTTCTACGAGTAAAAGTACAATAGATTCCCTCAACAATTTGAATCTGTTCAACAAGATGAACTGCTTCAGTTTTAGAAGAATAAACCAAAGTAACACTTGCCACAGCTTGTTATGCTGCTGGGAAAGTCCCTTGGTTGCATTCCGATTAATAGACGACTTCTCACCGGATGGAATGGCCATGTACTGTACTTGCTGTTGGGTAAAAGCATACAATTCTAACTAGAAGCAGTTCTGACATGCACAGGTTCAGGAACACGACATAAAGGGCAAGCAGGGCAATGCTCTATACCCCACAGCAACTTATAAAGGGTGCTGACCATATACGACTTTAGGAATTACCCCTAAACTTTTTGGGCTTTTAGTCAAGACATCTGGCTAAAAAATGGCCCAAAATCTGGGCGGTTATAAAACGATTCTCTCAAAAACTTGTGGGCATCAAGGTTCACTAAACTTCCTTAATGACTGAAGGTTTTCTAGATGGACAGTCACCCTGTGCCTATTCTGGCAGGAATAGGCCAGGATAGGCATAGCCTATTCTATATCTATTCTATAGTACACAACGCTAGCCTACTTGAGAAACAGTCAAGGGTAGCATGTGCTTTATATTACGCATGCTAGGAGGGAAGTGTTCTTAAGTAACACTCACCTGGAATGTAAACACTGGATGCTCGTCAAAGTACACTATGAGGTTTTCTGTGTGAACAGACTTTTGTGAAGGCTTCACTTTAATGTGCAGGTCCAAAGTTACAAACTGGATTCTGAAATACAATGTGAGGTTTGATAGAACATAATCTGTCAGGCAAGATATTGTACAACATCCAAGCTATGCCTTAGCCCTCTATGGTCATATGACATTCCATGCCTGACAATCAATTAGAAGCTGAGTGATTGGCTGATCAAGGCCACACCACTGCACAAAGCTGGGCAACCCCATGTGCACAATGACCACAAAAACTTAAAATTGTCTTTTTCAATCATCTCATTTCAAAAGCCTACTTTCTGTTCACAAGGCTGTTTTGGCTAGTAGCTTCCCATGGTAAATTTAGTTTCACATCAATTATTGTGATCAAATTTGTCATTTCCTACCCTAGAACCTCATTGATACATTCTCGGTCAACACATTTTCCCAGCAGTCACATTCAGGAATGCTGGTCCTATTGAGCATTAATAGAAATATATGTATATTAGTTTCCTATTTGATAAACTTGCCTTCCCGGCTGTTACATTAAAAAACTAAATTCAATGCGGTCAGAGTGATGCATTTGGCTGCGCATGCCTTTTTCGTTTATCTTTGCTCCTCTTTTTTTCATCTTTTTGCCTATGTGCATCATGCTTCTTGTGTTTTTCTTCCCTTCTGGGCAGAAACTTCAACCAGGCTCCAAAGAAATTGAGGCTTTCTATTTCTTTTACCTGCATGCACACTCCTGCCGTGTACGGTGGCCAATGACCCTCATTCCCCCCATTTAATTTCACATGGAGTTCAAAGCTCACTATCATGCTCAACTTCATGAAAGGAGAAGGGTGTTGTGTGCCTTTCTGTGCACCCTACTTTGTTCCTTGCCCACCGGAGCTATGTTCTTGTGTGTACATCAAGCGGCATTTCAAGAGGGAAAATGCCTAAAGAAACTTGCACTTCATTCATGCAACTGTGACTGAGACAGAAAGAGTGTAAGAGGACACACTACCCACCTGTGGCTGTGTGACAACACAAACTCGAAGGTATTGACACCCTGGAAGCAAATGTTGAGGGCCCGGACTTTAGAGCCCTCCTTGCTCTTGGGCGACTCTTCCGTGACAGAACCTGCCCAAAAAACGAGACATGGTCATCCAAACGTCAAATTTGTGGTGTGCACGTTTAGATGGCAAAAAGCTAAGGGGAGGGGAGGCTGACATAGAGCTTCAGCTTGTCTCAGCATTATCTCAATTTTATTTTAAGAAAACAGACTCAAATTTTTCAGATTCTTTTGTATGTGTTTTCAGAGAAAGAAAACGCACATTCCACGTGGAATGTACATTTTCATTCTCCTTGTCTATCAGTAAAAATACATAGTTGCGAGTCAGCGCTCTGTCCTGTCCGGTTTGTCGCTTCCTTTTGTATCTTTTTGCGCCGTTTTGTCGCATTATTTTTCAATAGTAGTTTCGAATAATTCACTATTCAATATTCGCTTTGAGATCAGCTGTGACATTCACATTTTTCTAACTGTTGATTGCGGCAGGTTAGCCCCGTTGAACAAAAAATAATATGTGTCATCTATTTTATGCGAAGGAACAAGTTTCTGTAGGTTTCTGTTTGTTTTGAGATCTAAAGTGATGATGCAAGCAAAGCCTGCATTAAATAGTGAATAGTCACAGTTCGCTTCATTTTTAAACGTCTTCTAGAGCTCATCCGAGCACGCTACTTGGAGGACAGTGTCTCCAAGAACTTTTGAATATTTAGACAGCAAAATCACACTACTGTCGAGACCGGTTATAACGAAGTCAATGGGATTTGGAAATCACTTTGCTATATCCGCTATTTCATTATAACCAGTCTCGACAGTATCACTTTTTTGGTTCATTTTACCTACCATTGATTCCCCTTAAGGCACTAAAATGTGTTTTGAGATTGCCCCTTTATTCCAACTCAATCCATGTGTCCTAAGCATTTTAGAAAACCCAAATTAAAATCATACATGACCTTTTTTTCTACTGAAAATGCATGCAAACATAGCAAAATGCTCCTTTACTAAGATTTATCACAGAACAAGGGACATGTTGCTAGCATTCTGATAGAATTCTTAGCATTTTTAATAGCATTTTTTTTATAAGATATATAATAACATGTACAGGGTTGAGAGCACAAATCCAGACTTTTTCCAGATTTCGTTTGGCAACAATGCAGTCAAACCTTGTTATATTGAACAGTGCGAGGACTGTGAAATAATTCGATATAACCAAAATTCTATATACCATATTTACTCGCATATTGAAGAAACTTTTTTTCCCAAAAAATTTACACATTTCGTGGGATAAAATTTTTGCATTTAAACAGTTTGCGCAAATGTCACTTTAGGTGTAAATATGTTACAGCAAGGTCCTGTGGCATGTCTCCGCTGATGGAGGCACACTCACGGCTGGTCGGGGTAACCATGCTTTATAAATTGCTGACCTTTTTAGGGCGCTTTCGGCGTGCCTTTTACTGAAGGAAAAGTGCCCTACGAAGCTCACTCAGCACGGAGAGCAATGCAACTGTTCTTAGGCCTAACCACTTCAACGATTTTACTGTCCGAAAGCAGATCACAGACGACGATGTGTTTGTTGACATCAATGCATCTGATACGCAAAGAATGTCCAGGGCTGGGCAATTCCTCGACCCAAGCTTCGTCAAGTGCGCACACCGCTTCGTTTCACGGTTGATCTCTTCCGCAACTATGCACTTGCAGCCATTACGAAAGTGGCTTGGCTTGGCTTGAATTGGCCTGACCGCTTGGCGGCAAAAAGAGATGGCTTGGTGGGCTTGGTGGTTAGCTAAGTTGAATGTAATTCAAGACTCTCGGATCCGAAAATTAGAGGTGCGTTCATTATGCGAGGGAAAAAAAGAAAGTAGAAATACTGGTACGCGTACGCGAGTAAATACGGTGCAAATACGGTACAAATTCACATCAAAAACGCGTCAAAGTGCAGCACGATTTATTGAGTAAAAAGCTAGTGGCAAAAATGACTGCTCATGGGAAGCGTTAATATGCAAGTTGTCTCTCCCCCATCATTGCATCTTCGTGTGTGTGTCTTGTCCTGTCTCTGTATAATTGTTGAATATTCAAGCTGTTTCATCACCACCATTGACCATGTACCAACAACTCAATTCAGACCAATAATTGCTTCGTAGCTTGGTGCAAATGTGAATGTGTGCACACTGTGTACGTGTGGCGCGGGTTTACCTGCTTGCTAGGACGACCACTAGGACAACCTCAAGGATGACCTCTAGGAGAACCTCAAGGACGACATCTACGACATCCTAGAGGACGATGTCTAGGACGACCTCAGGGACAACCTCTAGGAAAACAATGTCTGCATACGCGCAGCACCTGCCTATGCGGATGTCATGCGCATGTGGACTGTTTGCATATGCGTGGCACATACGTGTACCACACATATGCACGGCGCATTCGAGGCCAGATCCCGTATCACAAAAAACGGGTGAATTTAGCTAAAGAATGCCATTACATTAAAAAGATCCCGTATGATTGTACTACTGAATTTGTAAGATGCTTAGGGTGCATATCTTGAGTTAGCAGCATAAAAAGATGTTCTCAAAAACCCTTTAAGGCCCCTTACAACGGTGTTCGATGCCTCCCTGTAGAGGGACAGTGTGGCCAGTTTCCCTCACTCACGTTTCAAGGACGTCCTCAGGGACTCCAGGTCCTGTGCAAGGGTGAGCGCAGACATGTGCAGGGTCGTGCTCCAGCTGAGTGTGGCCTCTTCGTGCAGCTGTAGGTGCACCTCCTTAAAGATTGCAAGCATTGCTCACAGTTAAAGCCAGGTTGAGGCTCACCCAAACCAAAGCCAAAAAGAAGCAGGTGTTGCCTTAACGTTGGTCCTTGTCCAAAGATAAAAAGCAGGCAATCAGAAAGCAGCATGTACAGCGTGAATCCACGCTAACTCGAAATTAATTTTCAAAATTTTATAAGTTCAGGGCTGCTTACAGCATTGATCTGATTGATGCGAGTCATTTTGGAGCATCTTTTGGAGGAACCAAAAGTCAATATCGGAGCAGCAAAAAACATTTGGAGCATAAGCACACATTTCATTTTCCTTCATACCAGTGCAAAAAACATGTTCAAGTTCATGTGTTGGCCTGTCCAATTGAAAGACAGTGTCTATTTTGTTTTCCTACTTATGTGCAATCTTTTGTTAGCATCAATTGCATGGAGGTTCGATTTCCTCGAACACGGAACAAGCTGCTTAGTTATGTGAAGAGGTACCCAACATGCTGAGAAGAGGCTGATAAATGAGGGACAGGATGAACTGCAGTGCACAGTTATTTCGAGTAAAAAATTAGGGGTACAGCAAATAATATATTAATGTTAGAATAGAATATTACAAAGCACCCAAACTGAAGCTTTGTTCAAATTCTAAAGGTTCTGACAAAAATTGCAATTCTTAAGTCAGATGGAAAACAAAGTTTCTGTACCTGATTATAACCATAAATAACATTTTATGTGTAGAACTTCATAATAAAAATCGACATGTAAATGATAAATATGCCTTCTTAAAAATAATCTCTACGAACTTGTTACGGTTGTTCCAAAACTCCCATCCACTGCTCCAGCTAAGTCAGTTTTAATTTGGTGTGTTCATTGTGCCATCGAACAGATATGGGGCCATATAAAGGTAATAACTTAACAAGTGAGTTGATATAAAAAAAATTAACCTATAGAGCAGTCCACACAAATATTTGAACAATACTCAAGTATCCTTGCTAAATCTCGAATTTGAAAAAGATATTCCCAGGATATTGCAGCCCATTATATATATAATAGCTAGAGCTTTATTCAGAAATTGTGTCACGTCCCGCTTTGAAATAGTGCTTTCCCCTTAGCATGCGGGTGTGCTGCAGCAAAACAAGATACGCAAAATCGCAATGTCTATTTTGCGGTTGTCGCTTCTCTGCAGTACACTAGTGCCCGGTGAGAAGCGCACTCAACAAAGCTAGCTAACCTGTCAGAACAGACCACGCATCTGAGAAATATTGAGAAACTTCCCAGTACTGTCAGTATTTGATCAAGAAATCAAATATAGTACATCATTTGACGCAATAATTAAAAGTTTGGAATATTCACACAAGCCTACCATAACAATCTGGTCGTGCGGCAGGGCCTGGGCTATTACATTTTCAGAGATATCAATTCAGTGATATTGAGTTTTGGCGCAATGCTGTCACAAATTTCTCAAATTTTGGCAAAATGTAGCAGGGTAAGCACTTTGGCGCAGTTTGGCGCAAATGGAGCAGCAATCGCATCACTGTTAAAGTTACATGGTGCATAGAATCAATCTTCTCTATATCCCCTTGCAGCGCACTGTAAATGACTTTATTTCCATGGGCTCAATAGTTCGCGAATTTGGTGAAGTGAGAGTTTCGGAAATGTTTTACGATGAGTGCGGTATGCTATGTGTTTGTTACTATAGGGAAACATATTTGTGGATTCTATTTTTCACGATATTCATCAAGTCGCAAAGTTTGTGAAAATAAGGTCTTAGCGAAAATTGAATCGTTTACAGTATTCAACAAGTTTGATTGAATGGAATACCGTCAAGAGAAAATGCTCAGTCACAATAGAGCTGGGCATGTCTAGAAGACAAGACCATCAATTTGCAGAAAAAGCGGTAGAAGTAAAGAAAGAAAGAAATATGTAGCCGCCTCAAGGCTTTGGCAAAAGTAAACTGCATGCAAACAAGGCTGTTTCTGTATTGTGCTTTTGAAGGGCTTATGTTAACCAGGGTCTGAAAATCAAAGCCATCGTTTTGAAGACATAATACAGGTGGACTCTGCATTTGCAAGTATAATTTCCCCGTCCCCGAAACTCCACACTGCCATGCAAAGATGCCACTTTGGAAACTGTGTACATATAGGCATTCACACAACTGTTTAAAAAATGACTCCAATCATTATTTAACTTGATACTAAAACTTTATACCACTTTTAAAGCTTATCTATATCATTTTAAGAAATAAAGGAAGACTAAAATGCCATAAAGTATTGTTTTTTATATGTTCCTAATCAAGCTTTAAGTTTTCATTTGAAGTGCTCCTATAGTCGAGCACATGGGAGATTTCTTTCTGGGCATTAAGAAACCATTTAATGAAGAAGTGAACTACGAGGCTCCTACAATAACAGAGGCCATGTGCAATGCACCCCTGTGTTATAGTTTAATCTTTGCCAAAAACAGCTAAGGTATTAAATGGAATAAGAATCTCATGCCACTGATATATGTTGACTGTTGATCAACATATAACAGAGGCGCATTAAACGTCTGCTCTCACTACAAGGTTTAGATAAGTGTAAAACTAGAAAGAGGAGAGGTTTTGGTTTCAAAAACAGTCACCTTGTGATCAGGCTTGTAGTTCATGCGTACACTTTTCATGTAGAGAGCTGTGGACTTCATTTCCGACGCAGGAATGCAGCTGTAAGACTGAAATGAAGGTCAGATACAAAGTAAGTGCTCAGCAACAAAATGAAAAGCAAAAAAGAATGTTCCTGCTCAGCTACATGCATCATTAGGGCTTATTTCCTGAGGGCTCCCTGGCTGCACTGAAGAGGGGCTTCTTTATAACTTAATAGGAAGTTTTAGCGAGTCATTTTTGAATCACATGGTTACAAAATAATGAACAATGCAGCTGCTCTGTTCCGTGAAACCATACGTAAAGTATAACATTTTAGTTAATCGCAAAACTGGTGCAACAGTGTAAACAATGACGATGATTGCATTTTAGTGGCAGTGCCATCTTTTAGTAAACATGTGAATCGTTCTGCAGCATGCAAATTTGTGGCTCTAGTTTCACGGCGCATGGCTGATGTAAACAAAATGGCTGAGGTAATATTTATCAGTCGGAATTTCAAGGGCTCCGAAGCTAGATAGAGTAAAAAATGTCTGAACAACCATAAAGGTAGGTGATGCGCCTCCGTCATCTTTAACGATCGGTCACATTGTGTGCTGTCGAACAAAATCATTTCGTCGGCTCGCGGTCACCACAGCAGCTAGTCAAACCAGATCACGAAAACTTACTCACATCCGTAGTTTACAGCATTCACAATCGCTTACCATTGTGAGCAGTCCTCAAAATGATTTAGTGCGATCCCTCAAATGAAGCAAAGAATAGCAGGATGGCAAATCGCCTCCCGCTATCCAAGCCTAACGCTCTGGCCGACGGAGTCACCCGTTGAACCGACCGCTGTCTATTTTTTTACCCGACTAGTCAACAATGCTGGCTTGCTTGTGGTGAGGTTCCAGCGGCCGGAGTGGGCGAAAAGTATGAGAAGAGCATCTCAAAGCCAACAACGACTCGTGCACACAAGCGCAGTGGCGTCGGAAATGCGTTCGTGGACGAACCATTCGTGTCGAAACGACTCGCTAAAACTTCCTAATAGAGTGGGGCATGGGTCTTTGATGCCGAGAGATCTCTAAAAATACCTTTTTTTGCTCTTTTGAAATGGTGATTTTAAAATGAACAGCTACAATAGACTCATTAATTCAAACTCCAGGAAGTCACAAATTTTAGTTTGAATTATCAGAAGTTTGAATTATCAGAAATTCATCTAAATATGATACTAGACAGCATTATGATTTGTTACATGGATAGCTACACATACAAAGCAGATTTTTGCCAGTTTCCTCTACATTGGCCTAATTTTAAGCAAGTACAGGCATAACACATTGGTGAAAGAACCGAACTTTGTCTTTGCAGACATCAGAACACCGGGTGCGGACTACAGTCCGTAAAACGCATTTAGTGTATGTCGGGTATAGCGAGGATACAGTAGACTCATTAAGTCGAACTCCAAGAAGCCACGAATTTTGTTTAAATTATCGCAAGTTGGAATTATCAGAAATTTGTCTAAATATGATGCAAGATAAAATTATGATATGTTATATGAATGACTACACATACAAAGCAGATACTTAGTGATTTCCTCTCATAGGCATACTGATCATAAGCAGGTATGTCATACATAAAACAATTGTGAGATGTATAACATAAGTTTACTTATCCCTTAAAAATGTGTTTATCGTGGACTGTTTAGATAGAAGATCACAACTCAAAACAAAATTAACTTTGTTCATCAGGCCAAGAGGTTGTCTAATGTGGACTATTAGGCAGGGAACACATGAGCAATGAAAACTGGCAATGCGCGACCGTTTTCATAGCAACTTGCGCGGACGCTGTGACGTGGACCTATGCCATGCCGCCACGTCACAGCATCTGCGCAAGTTACTATGGAAATGTTTGCGTGGTGCCCGTTTTCAGAGCCCATGTGTGCCAGCTTGAACCCCGTTGAGTGTGCTTCTCACCGGGCACCGGTGCACCGCGGAGAAGCAACACCCGGGGGAGCACGCTCTGCGGGTGTTGCTTCTCTGCAGCGCAGCAGTGCTCGGAAAGAAGCGCACTCACTGGGGCCGCGAGAACAAAAAGTATGAATTAAAGCGAAAACGCCGATCGAATCGCTTATAAATACAATAAAAACATAGCGGGACAACCAAAATTTTCAAATCTGTTTGAATTAACCGGAAGTACAAAATATCAGAGTTTGAATTATCGCGAGCCTACTGTATGTTTATTTTGATCCACCCAGTTTTTAATTTTGTGGATCAATATCTGTGCCATTACATCAATTTATAATACCTATGCGGGTTCAATTTGAATTGGTGTTGATGCTAAAACAATGCTTTTTCATAAAACAAATTTCGGACTTCTTGCAAATTTGCTGGACGGATATTTCAGCATCTAGGGCAGATAGAAACATAAATTTTTACAGCGGAGCTAGAGCTAGGTTCCCCAGGATCGTGTCCGGTACCAAACAATTGTCGACACAAGTTGCCGCCGTTGCTCATAAATGGCGGTAGCTATCCAGCCTTTCCGTCAATGTGCACGATGGTCCGGTAGTCGCCGTCGTGAACGTGCCCCCCCGCGACACCCAAGAAACACATTGAAGCATTCATGATGGACGTCTTCGGCTGGGTCATGCTCGGCGACGACACATCTGCCGTAGTGACGGGTGACTTTAACATTGACATTGCATGCCAGGAGGGAAAGTGGTTCACTTTGTTTATGCTCGAGCGCTTCGGGCTTGCATGTGTGAAGGAACCTACGGTGCCCACGACCAGGCATCGGACGTGTATAGACCTCGCCTTCACGAAGAATGTGTCTGCCGTCAGCGTACACCCTATGGCGGTGTACCACAGCGATCACAAGGCCATGGTCACTCTGGTTACGAAATAAATACCAACCCCAGATCGTTATATGTCCGACTCTTTAATCGTTCAAATAACCAATTACCCAATCACGCCTTAATCCTTACATTTATAAATACTTCATTCCCACCATAGTACAGTTTCGCTGGTCTTTCTTTTTCATCAGAGTGGAAAGGCTGAAAGTTTTTTTTTTTAAACATGCAACTAAATACGGTAAGTGAATCATGCAACGATGAGAACCGATTTTTCAAGATAAGTCTAAAAAATATTTCAGAGCATTTACCATTTTATTGTTTGATCGCCACATATAAAGAACTGAACTTCAATTTGCTGACCCGCAATGCATTGGGTGGCAGGTTACACCACGTTGTCGGCACTGGCAAGCTGTCATTCAATGCAGGTATTCAACTACCAAGACTTTTTAACTTTTTTTTTTTTGTTACTATCGTTAGCAATTGCAGACAGCTGTCAAGTGGTGATGCAAGTATTGGCCGCTGCACGGGGGACCCACTGAGGTCACAATTGTTAGACACATCAAAAATCATTTTCGGCGTAAAGGCCTATTCATACAGGAGCGTTAAGTTACCATAACATCAGTGCCTTGAATGTCGCGTGCCAGTCTTGAAATGGTTGCCACACCTCACATGAAGCACAGATGTCTCGGTGACTCTCGACGTAAGCCGACGCAAGTTTTCGTAACATGACGCAACGTCAGAAAATGATGCTGTGGGAACCGGCCTTAAAGCGTCGAAATCCCACGAGATAAAATTAAAAATTCGGAAATTAGAACCGTGGAGTGGGAGTCTACCATGTCTGTGATGTTAATTCCCGTATCATGTGAGTTCAAAGTGAATGCCAGTGTGTTTATCGCTCATTTCTGTATATAACAGTGCTGTCTCATCACTAAAGATTGTGCACCTGAAACTTCAATGCGAAACCGCATTTTAACGAAAGCTAACCTGGACTTCAGATGTGTGCATGCTGTGGCATGGTACAAGTGGAGAAGGTAGCAGAAACGAAGAGGGTCGAGTTGCCCCTCCCACACCTTTCGCTCCCTACGCATTTTATCGACCAAATGCCGCCAACTACCTGCACATGTCAACAAACGTGAAATGTGTGCCAACACGTCATGAGTCACCCCACACGACGCTCCACAGCCTCAGTCTGTGCATCCTCCGTGCTTTCACAAGAGGTAGGAGGGGACGACGAGGCAACACATAGAAAAGACGCGGTGGTGCATGCCAGGAAGGCTGCGATTGAATTTGAGCGTCCGCTGCGTTCCTAATAAAAAGCAATTCCACAGGCAACGGTTGCCCCCGTTTATCTGGTCACCGTGGGAGGGCGTTCATTCGGGATTTCACAAAGCAGACGGCTCAGCCCCCAGTACCTGCGGTGCAACCGCCAGCGGTGCCACGGCGCATCCATCCATGTTGAGGTAGACCTTGCCCGTGCCGCAGTCAACGTTGAGGGTGTCCAGGCGGGCCACCAGGGTGGTCTCTGCCGAGCTCACCCCAAACACATTGGTGTCCGAGAGGCTCAGGTGCACCGACAGCGTCGGAGAGGCCGCCCTAGAAGCGCCCCCGGGGCGACCCAGGGTCATCCTCGAAGTGATCCTGGAGCACCACTGTTGCAGCAGGGCGGTCACTCTCGGGTTGACCTCGGCGTGGACGCTTCCCAGCATGCACTGGATTCGGAGATCCTGGGAGGTGTGTCTTGTCTGCGAGAGAAACGTACGGGGGGGTAAGAGGTGTGAATGCTTTGCTTTCGGTACAGAAACGCATCTCTAAATCTGTGAGGTGAACAAGATAACCCGGCCTACTGAATGCAAAGCTCGTACGTAAGCGAAGGAGGGCATGTCAATGTTTGAATTCAGAAAAATTTGTTTGCCATACACATGTACCAGGCTAGTCAAACTTTATGAATTAGTACTCTGCTCGTCCTAAAATGCACTCAACCCTTTGAGAAAAAAAAATATGAAAATGTATTTTGCATGTTTTGTAAAGTACAGGCAAAAAGCCTGCTACATAAGAGGTGGGGATGAGCACTTCCTTAGAAAAATTTGGAACCAATGGGAAAATTTAAAATAAGGCTAGGCCTGTGCTTCATATTTCAGCTGTTAGAATACAATTCTTTTGCTCATTACATCTGACTCTGGCTAGCAACCTACTTTTCCCGCAAAGTCCCCGAAACCCACAGGAAAGATCAAAGGCAGCAGATGATAATATAAATATGATAAAACTAGAAATGCATGAGTCATTCCAGACTAGGGGGAAGAATAAAAATCAACATGATTTAAATTTAAAATCATGACTTAAATTGAGATTTAAATCAGACCAGTTTTACTATGATGATGTAAATCAAACCTTCCCGTCAAAAATAATCCCGAACATAATTTTTATTCACCGTTTGTCTACCATTTTATGTTTTCTATGTGCAGTTGTTTTGTATTTATTTTTAAAATGCTGATCACTTAAATCAGGGGTTCTCAAACTTTTTGGTCTCACGGAACCCCAGGAAGCCTCAAAAACTGCCACGGAACCCTTTCCCCCCCCTCTATATTTGCCGACCGAGAAGCAACAGATGCACAATTGTAGGCAATTTCGCTTGTGCTGCTTCCCATAAATCCCCACCATATCAATCGTAATGTCAGTACAAAGTGAGATGAAGGCGCTTTGCACGGTCCTGCCGCGCAGCATGCGGCATGGGGGGGGGGGGAGAGAAAGAGGGGAGAGGGAGGGAGGGAGGGAGGGAGGGAGGGGAGGGGGGGGTAACAATTTGGGTGTTCGCGGAACCCATGAGACCAGCTCGTGGAACCCCTGTGTTCTCTGGAACCCCGTTTGAGAACCCGACTTAAATGAAGTGCTGTTCTGGGGAAATTGGATCGTTGAACTTCATTTCTTCTATGCGTAATGTTTTATTGCAACAAAATAAAACTGCAAAAAAATTTTTAAAAGTTTTTTTTTTATTGCAATTAGGTCAGAACTTGGAAGAAAAATCAAATAAAGATTTTAGACATAACTTATAAATAAAGTTGTTTCGGTTCAAGTATGGCAGTGATTACAGCAATGAAAAGTTGTTAATTAAACTGTATTACTTTACATTTACAGTAATTCTTTCTTTTGGATTGTTATTATTGATCAGAATAGATCGATGCTGCTTGTTGGGCGAGTTGGGGCCGAAACTTTGAGAACATGGTAGCACTTTTTGACACTGACGAGAAAGGAGAACAGAACAACACAATGCACTACTGGGAAACATCCATTGTGCTGACCTGTTCTTCCCTCTCGTCTGTGTCAAAAAGCGCTGCCATGTTTTCAAATGATAAGAATAATTGGTTAATCAATCAGCAATGTTGAAAAACACATACTATGGTGGTAAAGAATCCACACTTTCTAGTGACAGTGATTTAAATCAAATTAGCCCAATTTAAATCAAATAAAATCTTATTAATTTAATCTTTTCAAGAAAACCGATGTTTTTCCATTCTGCTCCAGACCCACCTTGAGCAACATCATGCCGACAGAAAAGGGCACATTCCAGAAGTGGCTCTTCTTGAGCTGTTGCGGACGCGGCACATCCACGGGACTCAGGGTGCACCAGGCAGTCTCCAGCATCACTTCCGAGCTGCGTTTGTACACGAGGGATTTGCTGCATGCTCCAGCTTCCCACGATTATCTTTTGTACAAGTGGCCTCCCTCACTAGGCCCACCTTATGCAGCTCAAAATGTTGATAAGGAATCTTAACAGTGACCCAACAATAGCATATTATCTCAGAAACGCATGATTTAAGCTGGGAACTGTAACTTAAAAGTAAAAATATTTTTAGTTTTTTTTAGTTAAAATTTTTACTTTTTACAGTCCAGAGTATCTCCTCACAAAATATGAATCAATTCAATTTCTTGCCACCCAAAAACTGCAAGTTACAAGTTTCAAAAGGCCCAATTTAAAACATGGGACAAGCTTTGAGTGTGACTTTTTCTTCTTCATTGGTTTTGTCACTGGTTGTTGAGCATCTGAGAGATAGATATCCCGTACTTCCCTCCAAATGATAACATTTCATTTGATTGAAAAAGAGACCATGTTTTTATATAAATGTATACATGGCAGGAATCCACTGCTTAGTTTGCCTACCAACCCTTTGCATTTGTGTAGCGTATTTGCACAAATCTAACGCTCACCTTTTTTCCAAAAAAAATGTCCTCAAAACTGCGTGCGCGTTACAATCGGACCCAGAAACCGAAACTAAAAAAGTGGAACCACAGGTTGGCTAACCGCATCACCATGGACGCACTGTGCTTTCGGCTGGATTTCGCTAGCTCTGTGGGTCCAATCCAATTCACACGTCGTCACATGTTTTCTTGTTTCGGTATTCGCCATTCTGTTATTGTCTTTCTCTCGAGCTGCGATTTTAAAAATGGAAAAGCGAAAGTGCTTTCATTATGAGGCTTCGTTTAAACCGAAGGTGATCATGCTGGCGGAGGAAGAAGGAAATCGAGCGGCCTCCCATGCCTTAGGGGTCTCAGACATGGGCATGCGCGATTGGCAAAAGCAGAGGAACTGCATTTTTGCATGTAAAACCACAAGAAAAGGTTTTAACAGCCCTCAGCGTGGGCATTTTCAGGAGCTGGACAGCGCACTTTCAGACTACGTCAAAGAACTGCGACTGACATCAAGGTAAAGGTCTGCCAACTGGCTCAAAGCTCCAATTACCCGATTCAAAGCCAGCAGGAGCTGGATCACCAAGTTCAGGAAGCGGAACGAGTTCCCACTGAGGCAGCGAACGAGCATCTGCCAGAAGCTCTAGGAAGCTTACAAAGAGAAGCTGGTAGCATTCTAGCAGTTTGTGATAACGCTCCGCAGCTCGAACAGTGACCTTGTTGGGCAAATTGGCAACACCGACCAAACGCCCATGTTCTTCGACATGCCTTCGATCTACACGGTGGAGGCGAAAGGTGCCAAGCAAGTGCGCATACTATCCTCCGGCAACAAAAAAAGAACAGGGTGACAGCGATGCAGTGTTGCTCAGCCCTAATGTTTTATCTGCATGGTAGAAGCGGCATTGAGTTATTTCTCCAATATTCGCGAGTTAAACATACCTGCACATTAGAATCGGGGGTGCCTTACGGTAGTAGCTCAAGTTCCTACTTCTTTAGTTAGCATTTGCATTACCTCAACAACTCACAATCACCTGCTTGTAACATTTTGAGGAATCCTGTAAGTAAAAACATTATTGACATTTTGTTGTTCCAATCCTTCCGAGATCAGATGACCTTTTAACCGATGTGTAAATAACCCTCTGCGAGTTATTACCCACGCTGAGGCTGTTGATGGGTATCAAGAAAAATAAAACGAATTGAACTTTTCCAGATATTCAAAATAACAAAACTTTGCAATCTTTTCACTAGTCATTTCAAAAGCCTTACCCCTGCCCAACTCTTTTAAATAACCAAGCTTGATACAAGTAAAATAATTTCGCACCATCAAAAGGTGTGCCCAGGGAAAACATTCCTCTCTTTATTTAGCTCTCCACCTTTTGCACTATTAGACCTAACAAATGCCCTTGCCCAGCTTGGCAAATGCACAAGAGGTTTAAAAAAAGTGATGCCATATTACAAAGAAAACTCTCACCTGATGTCTCTTGTGCCTTTGTCTTTTCCTGCACAAGCATGAGGGAGACAGTTAGGCTAAGTAAGCCACAAGTAATGCAGCTAAGCACAGATCCTCACCTGCTACGGGCAGCACCGACCCAATGTCGGCATTGAGTCGAGCGTGCACGAGACCGGTGCTGAAGGGGCCGCAGTCGGTCATTTTGAGTTGTGCAGAGACGTCTTCCAGCTCAGCTGTGGCCCGCACCAGCATTCGCAGCGAGACCAGCTTGTCCAGGGAGCTGCATTTGGACAGCATCCAACCATAATGAGCCTCAAGCTTTTAAAGCTTCAGCAGCGCCACTGGCAAGTAAAGTCACAAATCAATACTGTTAAATGCCGAGCATGTGCCCGTGTCACAAAAGCGCCCACCCGCTACTTGTGATACACAAGAGAAATGAGCAAAAGACACAAAAGTCGGCCGCCTCGGACTTCCGAGCCCACCTAGCTAACCAAGATGCTCCTCCATGTCAGCCTCTTCTGCGTGCAAGCCGGTGCGAAGTGGTGAAGCCCGCCCTATCATGTGCCCCTTCTGCGTTTGTGTTCTCTGACCTGTCGAGTGCCGATCTCCCAATTCTCAAAATTATGTCCCCATATCGAGAGGGTGCTCGCTCACTAGTTTACAACAGGCCGTTCGTGGCCAAGGCCACTGCACTTGCATACATAGCTTGGGGAGGCTGTTGCGGTATGAACACAATAATCATAAATTGGTAAGAAAAAGAACAAGGGTCATAAAATATGAAATGAAAGCATTCCAAGAGTTTTGACAAATGCTATAAAGCTATTTCTAACAATTTGTTTTAGCTTTGCACAAATGCCCTACGAGCTCACGTGGAGATGCCGGCAAGAGCTTGAGCCAGTGCCTCCTCTAGCAATGACTCGTGCACCATGTTACGACGTTACAACGTCTCTTTCTGCGCTAGGTTACAATTTACATGGTCGAGTTTTGCTGAAGCGGTTGTGACCGCTGGCCAAGAGAGACAGGCCCATACAAGATTATTAGGTCAAATCAACGAATAAGTCAGAATGTCATAGGAGTTCATGAAGAAAAACGGGACATCAGTAATGGTCCTTGAATTCAAGAAAGCAGAAAGGGAAGAGTTATGTACACAGCCAGGGTTCAGCCTTTTTTAGTATATTTCTGGCCAAAAACAGAGGGTGCTTTTTAGAGATTTTTGCGACTTCAGGGATGCTACAAATAGTCTTCAACAAAAATTTGAATAACGATAAAAAAAATGTTTGGGCAAGACAAGAGGTTTTTATTAGATATGACATTTCAGGAAGAGGCTGTGGCAATAGCCATGTGCATAAATCACCAGGGTTGAAAACATTCTGTAAATGGCTTCATCTCTGATGCCGAATATTATTTTTTTTTTTAGAGTTGAAGAAACCTTTTTTTTCACTTTCAAATAATTGCAGGGGCTCTGGGAATGTAAGGCTGATAAAGAAAGTACTAAATGTTTGTCTTGTAACATGATCATCCTTGTAGTTTCAGGAAACCAGCGTGGCATAAATGTAGGCTTACGAGATAATTACAAATGGCTTTTGGAAACACTGAAACCACATCACCTCTGGGATCTGCTTCTGTGCGGCGCTGGAACAGAGGCACTCCTACGTCGTGGGGGCAACAGCCGTCCCCAGTGGTTCAGCTCCTCTTCCGAGTAGGCCGCATGAAGTGAAGCTAGCCTCACATTCATGTCCACTTGCTCGTGATGAAGCTAGAAAGAGACAATAGAAACCAGTCCCCTTCTCCTGAGTTGCAGCAAAACGATGTGCCGCTCTATCGGTTGTAAGAAGCTCTTTAATAAGGCAAAATAAAACAAAAATGTGTGAAATACTCGAGCAGGAATCTGATGTAGCTAGGTAACGAGCCAAGGAAATTACTAATATAGTTAAGTAAAATCATGCAACTATCCACAAAACTCCTTTCGAGCCAATGGTTCTACGGGAGCCACGATAAAATTAAAATAAATGCATGTACTATTGCGAGAAATATAATCCCATTTGCATTTGCTCTCTCAATGCAGCAAACGAGCCTGAACTGTCCCTTCCTTGCACACTGAAGTGAAATTGCAAGAGCTCGGGGCGGTATGGAGTCAGTCTACTTTAATGTGAGGGTAGACATGTAACCAGTGATCAATTGGCCCTTCCAGTGCCTGACAGCAACATCTGTTGAACACAGTAATGGAAGCAGCCTTTGCCTTTTTCTAGCAGGTAGAATATTGGTTTGGAACAGCCACTGATGTTTTCTGAAGCAGATGTCAACATCCTTTAGCACATCACTTCAGAATAAGAGAAAGTGATTGGATCGCTTAACGAGTTATTTTTCATAATAATTAAGGGCTCCTCTTCGATACTGAAGCAAACTACTTATTACCATTTGTAATAAGAATAAATAGGACACCAAATGAACACTCATTCTTATTCGAAATAAGGCTCGGGTGAGAGTAAGTTCCATTTGCAATGAATATTAAAAACAAAAAGCATAGCCCTTCAGTCGAGATAAGGCCTCTTTCCCCTCCCCCTTTTACACTAAATAGTTTATTTAGCCAGTATATATATCTTTTTGTAAAATGGTAGCAAAAGCCAGCCCGCTGAAAAGGGCTATGGATGTTTTAGCGGATATGCTGATTTTTGCCGGCATTTTACGGAAATTATATTTACAAGCTAAATGAGCTACCAAGTGTGAAAGGGAGAGGGAGAGACAAAATATGTTGTCCCCCCCAAGCTACAAAGCCAAAGTTCCAATATCATAAACTGCAAAAACTCCCATCCACAAATATAAAAATCTACAGTTGCACTTTAAGAGTGACACTGCCAATGGGGACTCCCTCTACTGCTGTATTTATACAAATATAGACCAGAGTGTTTTCTGTCTTTCCTGGCACAGTTTTTTAATAAGATCAGAGGTCAACCTACAATCAAGATCAAAGAAGGTAAGGCTGTAGCAGTACTGAGCATAGTTTTGAAGCCAATCGCGCTAACCCAGGCGCACCCTTAGCGTATCAGCCGCTGCTCCTAGCACTCCATCGCAAAGTGGTGAAGCTCGACACACGACTGCTGGCGTAAGGTCGTCAAAGTTGATGCAAGTCAAGCGAGCGCCAAGGTAACCCTGTGGCCACAGCATAAAGACATGTGGCAGACATAAGAATCAAGTGATCTCAAAAGGAAAAAAAAAAAGATACAGTTTCTGCGTTATCACAGCAGCTGCCATCCCACTATCTTGCAAATTTTTCTCGCAAGTTTTACCTCCCGACGTCAACGACGCTGTTTGGAAATTGACACGACGACGGGGCAAGCACGCTTGACGAGCAGTCTCTACACTTCACTTCACCTTAAGTTCAAGCGCAGCCGACGCTGGGAGCCAACGGGACCGATCGAACGACACTAAGATACCGAAACCGTGGCATTCGTCACCTTTCTGTACGCGAAATGCGAGCGGACGCAAGAGTCGCCACCGTCACGGGGTCCCATCTCTAACTGCCTTGGATTTAACCAACTGTCTGACTGCAGAGCGACGTATGTCGGAACGTCGGATGTCTGCCGTACCAACCTCCACAGCTGTGCCCCGCCAGGATCGCAAGATCGACACTTTTACGACGGCATCGGGCAGAAATCTCGGGACCCCTCGAGGATGCGGCAAACGCGCCAGTCGAGATGCGCTCCCTGCAGCGTACCATAAAATCCAGTACGAACATCCTCCCCCGAGAAATTGCCCATCCTGCTTTTCTCGCTCATTATCCATAGGTTAAACATTCCGAAACGTCGCCCACGTCTGATTTCCGATGACTGAACTGTGCGATTTGCGGCATTGGTTCGTGTGACGAGCCAGCCCGAAGCAGGATCCTGCACGTTTATCGCTCCACGAAGCCCGAGTTTGCCGTGTCCGCAAGACGAGCGCGTGATATTGGTTACCGTGAAATGCAAGCTTGTAGTGGGATCCCGTGTGTTTTTTACTCTACTTCAACCGCCGATTTTAAAGAACTGAGCTAAAAAGAATCTTGAGCTATATTCAAATTAATAAAGTAGTCATTGCTTTGCTTGCCACGTTACATTGTTTTACCCAGCCAACCTCATCAGGGCCTTCCTTTCCTTAACACAAATGTGTGAAATGCTTCTCATGTAATAAAACTGTTCTTATTCGTAAGTATGCTTTCAAGAAAAGATTTCCAGCTATGATTTAATAAAGTATCTGTGCTCAATTTGCATGAAATGTAAAATACTATTACTTTAAAATATTGCAATTCAGTTAACACTGAAATTTTAATGTCTACGTTCAATTAGCAATCAAAAACCCCATGTTCGGACACATCTAGCAATTATGCTAGACTAAAACATTTACACAAGCTCGATCATGCTGACAAAGGCCAAGGACCACGGAATATGTCCACTACAAACCACACTCCGTGTGGTGTTTGTGCCACACTGCTCTTGGAGACATGTTTTACCAGGAGCGTAATCCCTCCAGAGCAGATGTGTTATGCAGCTCAGTAGCTGTAGTATTCGAGTGAAACCTCATTGCCCGGGCTCGAGCCCCGCGGGGGCATCTTTTCTATGCCAATTTTACACGGGCCTTTGTGAGCTTTATATATAAACTTCAATGTCATGTAACACTCCCAGCGTGTTGCTCGTTCATGATGCTTATTCCTCACACTCATTTATCACACTCGTTCATGGTGATTTTGTCATAGAAAACGGCACTCTGCATTAAGAGGACCAGCCGAAGCGATGCTGTCAAATGCCACGAGGACCCACCCGAAATTTGGCCTCCGCAGACTTGAGGGAGACCACCTGAAACTGGTCACTGGCCAGGCCCAAATTGGAGAGCGTCAGTAGGCAGGTGGCGAAGCTGTCTTCCCCAGCATCTCGAAGAAGCTCGGCAGTGACGCTGTGAACCTCCAGAAACAGGCCTCTGAGGAAGAGCATCAGACGGAGCACGCCATTGCAGCAAAAAACGGCTCTGTTCCGCGCAAAGTACAGTTAGACTAGAAGAAATTTTATTTGCCTACAAAAATGTTCAGTCTGCCCAAACTTCCAGACGTTTAGAGAGTAGAGACAATGATGTGACAGCTACTAATACGAAATGTAGAAATACCTTACAAGATAGGGTGCTATACTTCATGTAGAAGCGATCCTTATATTAAAACACGTTTGTTTCAAAGTTTAAGCGGTTCTAGAAATGAATTCATGCAAGTTAACGACCCGATATTTTAAGGAAACAATAATTTTGAACCACAGAATATAAAAAGAAAGTGGACTGAACTAACATAGCGATGCAGGCGAGTTGGCTATGCATGTTGAAAAGTAGTGAAAGTGCACAATAAAGACGAATACGAAGACGAAGAAGCAAACAGGACGAGCGCAGGACGGCGCTCGTCCAGTTTGCTTCTCCAGTCTTCGTATTCGTCTTTATTGTGCACTTTCACTACTTTTCAACATAAAAAGAAAGCCATTTACAACTTCTTGTAACTCCGAATTGGAGCGCAGCTCTTGGGGAGAAGGAGGGAAGGGTACTGAGAGGAGGGTACTGAGGGGAACGATACTGAGGGGTCACATGACCTGGGGGGGGGGGTCACGTGACCTGGGGGGAGTCACGTGACCTTACGATTACGCAGACGGCGATGCCGCTCAAGCCGGAAACGGGCACCTAAGAGCTGCGCTCTAAAAGGGAAAAGATGCTATTTCATAGTAGAACTTGCCTTACCTCTGAAAATTTTCTCTAAGAATCTTGAAAGATGACGACTCCATTTTGATGCAGACAGCCTATAAGCACAATATTAAGTTATTGCGTGGAAAATGCATGCAATACTCTCAGGCTTCAGACCCTGACAATCCTGAGGCTTTGTTACACAGAGACTCAGCTGCATAATTCTGCTGAACATTTCCCCGTGACAAAGGGCAGACACCAAGTAAGCAACAGTACCCGCGCATGCTGCGCAATTTATGCACCTGGCACAGACAGTCCTATTGTTGAGGCACTTCAATTTACCCGTTGTCATGCGCAGAGCGTGAAATACCGTAGGACACCGAATAAGTGCCAACCCAAAGTTAAGAGATGATCTTGTAACACTGAGAGATGCACACTTGTTAGGTCTAAGAGGAAAAATGCGGAAGGGCTCATGACAGCACATGATAGGGTGCACTTCACCACTTTGCACCAAGTTGCATGGAGAAGCGACGGCTGAGGAGGAGCGTCTCTGTTAGCTAGGGAGCCCAGAAGTGTGGAGTGGGCACCTGACATGCCCTCTGCTCAGTTTTCATACATCTCAAAAGTAGCAGGTGGGCCTTTATGGTGACATAGGCAGATGCTCGCTAATTTACGGTAGTTACCACGGATGCACAATTGTAGGCTTTGTTAGACTTTCTAAGTGAGAGTCATCAAAATAGACAGTGCAGTGAAATGTGCCTATGTGGTGCTCCAACATAAAAAACAAAATTCAACGTTGGATACTACCCTACGGTACTAGTAAGATGCAAAAAGACATCCATATTGTGTTCATGCTAACGGTATTGTGCGCTATACAAGCACACACTAGGAAGGGATACTATTCTCAATGCAAGTTTGCCTATTAGAAGTCTGCATGGGTGCGAGCCAGCCCACAGGCCGGGCTCGGGCTTCACAGTTACGATCATGAAGGTCTTGGGCCATTGAAGTCTGCAGGACGAGCCAAAGCAGGTCAAGGGGGCTGTGTTTTTTTAACAGCAATAGCTGTTGTGGGCTCTTCCCTCCACTGGAAATTCTGTCTGTCGTTGATGTTGTAGTTGGCGATGTAGGGCGTCCGTCGTCAGTGTTGTCAAATTCTCAAAAAAGATTGCCCACTGCCTGCAGGAATCAAACCTGGGTCTGCTGCGTGCGAAGCGGAGGCATTACCACTGAGCTACACCACAGCATTAACGAGACTCTTTAAACTTAGGGGTTTTATAGCACCAAAGGCCACTGCACGCGCTCTCTGAAAAGATGCTGTTGTCGCTAAAAGATGGCGTCGATAGGCATGAGCGAAATGGACTACAAAGTTTTAACCATATCATCACGTTGTGTGCTTGAATTTTCTTTGTTGTCCGCTACAGATTTTTTTTAAAACGCTTTTGTTTATGCACCCCACAGTGCGGGAACGCGACACCGAGGCCCACCGGTTTCGCCGTGACTTGTAGCAGCTATCGCTGTGAATGTACTGTGGAATGTTTTGTGAGCACAAATGCTTTGAAAATTTGTTTGCGGGGTTGCAAGACACTACAGTGGAGGAGACCCAAATGATAAAAGCGTATGCATCTTTTTTTTATGGTTTGGAGTGTACGCATCGAGTGCTTTTCTATAGCCATGAAGCGTTCATTTTTGTTGCCGGTAATGCCGCAATCGTACAGCCACTTTTCCCCGTCAAGCATGCACAACATGTGGGCATACACAATCTACAGCCTTGCAGGCATAAACCATCTGTATGTATGGGTGCATGCCTCCACAATATGGGTAATGTCACTTTCATCAAAGTGGTTTTTACAGCGGAGCTGCTAAGGGCTAGGTTCCCTAGGATCGTGTCCGTGTATGTCAACACAAACCTACCTGGACAGCTACCGCCATCTATAAGCGACGGCGGCAAGCACACAACCAGTATGGTTTCCGCCGTCGCTCGTACATGGCGACAACCTATCCAGCTATAATAGAAGAATGGATAGTTGGGCGCGTTGGTGGGAATTCATCGCAGAAAACAGCGCGCAAAACAGACGAGCACGAAGAAGAAGCACACAGTGTATCGAGTACAGCTCTGCTGGTCTTCCTTCTTCACGAGAGTGGAAAGGCTGAACGTTTTTCAGGGGTTGCTGTTCCTAAATACTTTCTTACAGATCAGCGTAAGAGACGGCGGTATATTTTTATGACTTTTTAGACGCGGGTTCGGTCGCAAGAACAGACAAGAGGTGCAACCACTTCTTTTATTAATATGCCTAGGCCCGCTGAACGGTCCGACTAATAATAGCATCCAAAAAGAAGGATGTTTACAACGACTGAAAAACAAAGAAACAAAAGGTTTTTTGTGGTTGTCCCTCATTTTACGATCGGCACACATTTTGTGCTTATTTTGATGTAGATGTTAATATGGGTGTTGACTATCGCATATTGTAATCAACAGTGGTGAGCGAGCTTGCCATATCGTGCACCTTGGTAACTTAGCTTCATACTGGGCAAAAGTAAATTGGGCCCGAGAGGGCCCAAGAAAATTAGTGTCAGGATCAGACGGGTTGGGCCGGCTGTCAGAAAGAAATGGCAGGCCAAGGGCCAGACTCTTAAACGTTGACACATGTAGACCTCTGTCGCCTCCTATACTATATTGCGAGCCATGCCATATGATGTTCTGGCTGCCCGACAAATCAATTTTGGTAAAGAGGAAAGTACTCAATGAAATGCGCAGGAAGTGAGTAAAAATGCAATGAGATGCACCCCTCAGTAAGACCGACCTCAGGTAATTTCCCAACAAGGGACCTGAGTTCATCCTCTCCAAGAGTGGGCTCCTTGTCGGAAGATGCGACATTCGCCTCCTCATCGTGCTCAGGTTCCTCGTGTTCGAGCTCCTGGCTGGTTGGAGCCTCTCGCGATGACAGAGCTTCCAGAAGCTTGTCTGTTTAAGAAGAAAGCAGTTGGAAATACGAGACCACGTGAATAAGCACATTCACAAATTGCTGACCAAACTTAAACGTGTCACCGATAGCTTCAAACATTCAGGCGGTGTAAGCCCCTGCAAAATATACCTTGGAGAAAGGCGTAGAATGACAAAATGAAAGGCAACTTTTTGCCAACATGTTTGTGTTGTGCAATGGTTGTACTCTCTCTTTCGAGTTCATCAAAGAAGTCTAAAAATATTCGAGCGTAAACAGACCAACCTTCGTAAAGCAATATTTCTGGCTGTCGGATGTCCACAGAGGCGTTCTGAATAGAAAATTGTGTTTGTTTTAATGCAGTCCTTAGCCTGTAACAATTTTTCTGCTCTTGAGAGAAAGATGCTTGAAACTCACATGAATGACTCTGAGGTCCACAGCAGAGCATGTGATGCTGCTCTGGATACTGACACAGAAGTGAACCATGCAGGAGTCATTCGTGCTTGTATCCTGTCGGGCAAAGGAGGTTTAGCGAGTGCGGCCACAAGAAACGTATCAAGGCAGGCAGCCGATTTTTCACAAAGACGATGGGTACGGGCAACAATGTTTAAACAGAGTCCACTTTTCACCTGAGGGTGTTTGAAGATGCGAAGCGCTGCTGAGATCATGTTCATGCTTATGCAGCAACTGAAAAAATGAGTGAAGAAACAATCAGTGATTGATAAAGCCATGAATTTAAATTTGGATCATCAGAAGTGCTACCAACTGTAGTGTACTGTAGATCAGGGTGAGTAATTGTGATGCAAGTTTCTCTCATTACATAAGCAACCAAAATTATTTTAATGATTTTCCATATTGAAATTTTAATATTTCTAACGGTGGATAGTGGCGTGAACGCATCTGACCTCTACGAATACTGCAATTACAAATCATGGGAAAGGAAACGTGAGACGTTTTCAAGGACGATGAATTATCTTGACAACATGGGGATCTTTTAAGTTTCACTGACATCGCTATATGAAGCTGTTGCAATTAACAGACACCAAATTGCAGCAACTTCGGCAAGAGAATTTTAGAATTGTAAAGAGGTTATAGGATTAAGTGAACAGCATATCAAACGTCCTTTACACTGCTGCGAAAAGTGCTCGCATAAGGGTTACATACCACACACTCCATTTGAATAAGTTTTCTATAAATAAAAGGGTGGGCAAAGCTATGCATCCCTTTCAACTAACTTTACAGTGCTGCATACGATGAGGCTCTAGTAAGAGCACCAATGAGAATGCAGGCTGCTTTGTCATATCGGTGAGATAACTGGAGCCAAATTAAATGGTCCGAGAAAGGATCCCCTATGCTCAGCAGTAAGCACATACCTTTCACTTTGCCTATTCAACTGTCAGCAGTATTGGTGAGATGCGTACAAAGGTACATACTCAAGCTTGTCTGAGAGCACATGCATGGCCAGCTCTTGAAATGTAGCGTGAAGAAGGCAATCCTGCGACGGAGCTCCCAGTTGCATTATGCTAGCATTGTGTACATGGAGCGACATCCGCTGAAACAGGTGGAAAGAGAAAGGAAGCCTTAGCCGTCAACCTTAGCACAAGGCATCTTAAGGAAGAAGGGTTGTTCAGGTTCCCCTGGTTAGCATCAATGCAAAGCCTTTCCAACTTAGGCGCTTGTTAGGCACCTTCGAGCTGCATGATTTCAGGTCGGGGAGATGTACTGCTCAAAAGAGTGAACCATTCCAGTGCCATGGCTAGACACGAGATTTCTGGGAGAAAATAAGTTTTCACAGATTCACTATAGAGGAGGGCGGTCACTCATGGGTTATGAAAAGGCCTGACTCGGCCCTCTCAAGCCTCCGGCTGATGGGAAAGGCGTCAGGCGAAGTGACTGTATTTTATACTTTACGCAAATGGATTTAATCTACCTCCTGCCCATCCTCCAATTCTGCACAGACATCAGCCTAACACCTGAACGCTTCCCGAAGGCTTGATAGATACCCGCATGCTTCACAACAATCCAGCCCTTGGCCCATAAAAGTTGCTGACCCCCATACGCTACTGTTATCGGCCCAACAATTTTAGTTTCTTTTCTGTCTTGCACGAAAGGCCCTCAGCTACAAACAAAAGCCTAATTGTTGGGCTTGCAACCATGTGCCGCACATCACTTTACATCAGAGCCTAGGAACTTACGACTTTAGTTATGACGTGACAGGTTCATCTGAACTATCTTCCTGACTGTGGACATGAGCTTAAAGGTTTCTAGGGAGCTCTCATCGCAAGAGTGTACGAGCATTGACGGAACTTCAGCTCACGCTTGCAGCTACAGTCTAGAAGACCTTCCACTTGAATCAATGGGTAAGACACTGCAACTCGATGGCTGAGGCGGAAGCTCTTACCTTAAAGAATGTCATGGCCTTGCCTGGCAGCTGTATTTTCCCCTGAGCGGGAGGCTTGTCAGGAGGCAGTCGCTTTGTCGGTTTGTTTTCCAGGAGCTTGTCAAAGTGTGCTTGTAACCGCACATCTCCCAGGCAGACAACAAACAAGGAACTGTAAAAAAAAAAACAGAAGTGATTTTACATTAGTATAAAACAATACTCCGGGATTGTTAGAACTTCATATTAAGCGAGTTAGTTGTTCATGTTGGTCGACGTTGCAGCACACTAAAAAAACTGCCGCCCAAGCTTTCCCACCCATAGGGTAATAAACTCTCACACAGCGCTGTGTGAGAGTTTTGTTACTTGTGTGTGTGAAAGCTTCAGCGACAGTTTTTTTAGTGCGCTGCAATGTCCACCAACGCTCCAGGGTTCTCTCGAGTCCCTCAGTAATTTTCGAACATCGGGACCATGTTGGCAGCCATAAGCCAAGTTCGCCATGTAACCTATAGCCCAATTTTAAACGAGCATTTCACCTATTGCTACAGTAATTTTTTTTTCTTAAGTATTTGTCTTTTTTTTTGTTTGCTTGCCGTTTGTTACAAAAGGAGGGCATGAACCTTGTCAGGACGACATCTGTCGGCTTTTTGTTCCTGCCCCTAGTGCCTGCATTATTGTACTGACGCAAATAAAATGATTGATTGACTGACCGATTGGATTGTCCAGTGACCAAGCCGTCTGGCTTTGCGGAATAAGTTGATTATGTTTACAAATCACTGTAATTCATATATTTGCTAAATTTACTCATTAAAAAAAAAAAAAAAATTAATCTCACTGCAAGAGAGGATTGGAGACAAATTACAGCTTTCAGCGGGTTCAGGTAGCTAGAAAGCATGATCATTCATGGGCGAAGCGTTAGAGGCAATGAAAGTGGAATGCCACCAAGAATAAACAGAGATTGGAAGTATGAGATATGTCCTGTATGCTGCCAATTGTGGGGTCCAATAAAAAGAATCCGTTCAGCCCTAGGTTGACAGGGCAGTGACAGTTATGTGCTCGCCGGACAAATCAACCGCCTGCCTTTCATCATCGAACCCTGCCCTCCGAGCGTGGGTAGAGGCGGGAGTGTGATCACGTAGCGAAAGACTGACGTACGACAGGCCAAACGAGCCTGTAGCTTCCACCGGACAGTCGGCTTAGTGGGGAACGAAGCATGGCGTCAGCCTAAACTGTCCATGCCCGAGTCACCAATTGCTGCCTTGGACCACTTCGTGAAGCAATCGTGGTTCCTCAGTGCGCTCGAGTCAACCTCCATAGGGTCAACGTATGTGTACGGCAGTCCAAAGATCGCCATGGTAGAACCATCGTGAAGACAACCTTCAACTGGCATGTTAAGTATTCATCGGCGGTTTCCATACCAGCAAGAAAGCGCTAGCCCCAGCAAAACAATAAGTTTTGAAAGGCTTTTTCTTTTTCTGTGTTCAAGTGTAAAACCAAGCGAAAATTTAGTTAAGGGCCACAAACATTTTTAAACAACGACAAAGGAAGAATAAAAAAGTGAGAAAAAGAACAACTTCGTTGTTCTGTCAGTGTTTTTAGTATTCTTTTCTAGTGGGTTTACTATGAATGCCATTAACCAGATCGCCTGCATTTTTTCCCCATCTTTAAACCAGTTTTCTTTCCGCAAGGTGCGAAGCATTTGACAAGCACCCTCTGAGTGGGTTCCCAAACCCTGCAAGATCACAAGTGATTTTGCTGTAGCCCAATGGCAGATGTGGAGGTCCATTCCGAACTGGCCGACAGCTCGCTTTGCTGCTTTAACCATTCCGCCCGGAGGCGTTAAGTGCTGGCCTCTATAAGTATGGTGCCTGGAGCACGTGTTTAGCGTCCAGTCCTGCCCATGCATCCAAAGTTGTCTCCGAGCGGCAACACATGACGTCGCAAAAGACAGAGCGTCACGCTGTCGGATGTCGCAATCCTGGTGGTTGGCCGTAAAAGTTCCGGCAAAAAGCATGAGCAGACGCGAACGTCGCCGTCGTTGCGGCGGTCCAACTGCTGGCTGCCGAAGCTTGCGTGGATGGTCAAGCTCGAGAGCAACGTGCAGCGAACAGGCGTCTGCCACCTCCAACGCCGCTGATGCGACACCGCCAAAATCGTGACCCGCATGACGTCATTGGGCAGAAATAGGGGGGCCGCTTTTTTGGACGCGGTAAAGGCACCAGTGGGAGACGCGTTCAAAGGCACCATACTATGGGCAAAGATCACGAATACTCGTAACCATACCTGCCACGGCTAAAGCAAAAATAGTGTGGATTTTGCAAGTAATATTTTACAAGAGAAAAGGTGTGGTTATAATATGAAAAACAAGCAAAACCTGAAAAACGAAAAGCTTTCAGATATGAGCAAAGATGGCGCGGTACTGCATACTTGCCGAGCTGCTTGTATAACGGGCCAGTGTAAAGTGAAACACTACATAACTGGCAAGGTACACCTTAATTAAAAAAGGCCACCTCGATTCATTGCCTCATAAATGTGATGTCCAAGTCAAGTGGCACGCCCCTACGGTGCCAATGAAATGTTTGAAACTGCAAACTTGGTTAATGAACGTCTGACGAGGCATCACAGCCAGCAATGGGAACAGCGGCAGAGTTCGCTGTCAGCGGGAAGATTTCTTCCGTGCAAGCACTTGCGATCTACCAGGGGTAGGGATGATGCTGTCTACATGCTACATGGTCTCTATTGGTTTCCGAAAAAAAACTGCACTGAAAGGTGCCAAAGTGCACCAACACCGAGAAAAGACACCAGTCAGAACGTACTTGTGTGAGTGACAATGGCAATGCCGGGACGATAGACCATTTGCTATATTACCCAAGCATAAAGGAGAATGCAGGGACTGGTGTTCCACGCGCTACATGCGCATGCCTTCCCCGAATAAAAGATTCGAAGTAAATAACCAAAATAAAGCATTGATGAACACGCGTGCAAGATGCCATTTTGTTGTATGTTTTTTCTTTAGAAAAGCTACTGCTGCTGAGACCAGCACGTGCGGCGCGTGGAACACCAATCCCTGCATTCTCCTTGATGCTTGGGTCTATTCATGGCAATTTTCGATGGCGTGATTGGAATTGTTGAATGAGAAGACGTGAGGTAAAAGGAAACAAGATGCAATACTCTCGAAGTCATTGAATCGCTCTGGGGTGGTCCTTGTTACGGTGTACAGTAACTCTGTCTTATCTTATGATAGCACTATCCTGGTGGCCTCTAATGAATAGCTCCATAATGTAGCGCTCAATAGAACAGCCAGAGCAAAGGGCCGCTGAATTGACACTGATATCATAGCTGAACTGGGAACAGCACAGAAATTCTGCCTCCTAGGCGATCTACACCTTTCACTAACCCCTGCTACTGCAATGTATTGCTGACTGCCAAAATTGCCAGTTATCTGCATTCAGTACAAGCATAAAATGTCTACTGATCAAGTCATTCAATCACCGACCCTTTCGGCAGTCGCCGATGCACCTTCATGCGAAAAATGGCGGTAAGTGTAACTTATACGACCAGCAAAATTGCTGCAGTGTCCACGGTATAACCACGATATCAACCTTGCGCGAGTGGCGTCTTCTGCTCGGCCTGTTTCACTGAGTGCCATGTCATGAAGCAATTCTTCGGCTGCCACCGTTCAGGATAGCACTCCTACGAGATGATACACAGTTTGCTTGTCCCACGTAAGTTTGGGGAGCCCTGTACCCAGGAGAAAACATTAAACCCAGTGCTTATGAAAGCCCACCTGTACTTTGTGGAGAAGAGGCTGCTTGTGAACCATACTTGCTCCACCTCCTGAGAGAGAAAAGACGCGTGATCAGGTGCATGACACTTGGCACAATGCATCGCGAAATGGTGTGCAACAATCGTTAAATTGGGGTAAAGTATACGCAAGACTTCAGAACGATCAAACAGGTGTTTCCTTACCAGTGTAGTGCCATCTCGGAACTGCAGGTAAACCTCTTGAATGGAGAAAAACCCGAAACGTCCAATCTTGAGTTTGATGTCGTAGCGTTGCTGCAAAGCTCGTGACAAATACCACGAAAGTGTCCTGGGTAGAGAAGGAGTTACTCTGAGACAGCGAAATTGACACCGCGCGTACTGACGAGGAGAAAGCAAAAAACAGGGCGCACAGAGTCAGCGTCATCTTTGGCGCAAGCACGAAGCCACCAAACATCACGATTATGTATTTATTTCGGCAACACCTGCAATGGTTTTGCAAGTCGACGACTACAGGCAGTTTCCTGCCCGCGAAAATAAACAAGAACACCCTAGGCGGTGGGAAAAATCAGCAGATTTGCACTTAGGAGTAGGGCAACAATTATGCGCAATTAGACAAATAATATGCGCTTTAATAATCAGAGATCGCGACAAAGCCGTTAACAGCACGATAGCGATAACACACTTGGAAGCCCCGAAGAAAGTCTACGCCGACCACCGCACAGGCCGCATTCAATATATTTCGCCAAAACGCATCGAGAAAACAAGTTTTTCTGAACATACCGAGACGCGACTCCAACCAAGATGCAGCAGGCAAGAAATAGCAACAAGAACACGCCTAAAAACGTTAAAAACATCATACTGCCGCCGTCGTTTCTCTCCCGATGCTCACAACCTTACAAACGGCACTGGGCGCCGCCATATTAATGTAGTCGACCTGGAACCACATGACCTAGCACGTGACCACTGTCATCCAATGACAGTTTCTGTCACTTAGCGCGTTGTTGTTTCCTATCCGCCATCTTCTGTCGCCATCTTCTGATGAATTTTTATTGGGTTCGGGATTTTTCCTAAATTCATGGATTTGGAGACCACCTAGAACCCACCCTTTGTCCTACGGACACTTAATATGATGGCGACAGCATGACGCATCCTACTTTAGTGACGAACGGCGCAAGTCTTGAAGACTGTCACACAAATTTCTTTGCATTGGTGAGTACATGCTTTTTCTCAACGGTATCCCTCGAAGTATTTTGCTTCGTTTATCGTGTTAGGCTTACGTTTGCGCTTTCTACGGCCGATCGTGCCAGTTTTAGAGTGTGGGGCGAGTCGGAGACGTCTTTGGTTAGCCGGATAGGCTGTCGCGATCGCCCGAAAAAGGACCGGGTTCAGTCCCGGTCGCCGTCGAACGAGGACGCGGGTCACCCATTGTAGGAGCAGAAAACCTAGGTCACACGCTCTGAAACGCGCGTTCCGCTGGTTTTCCTGCTCTGTACCGGTGACCGCCGCACGGGCCGTGTTCGCACCATCGGTCCCAGACCCATGCTCGTCCCACGGACGGCTCCGGCCGAGCATTGGCGAGTCGGCCGACCGCGTCCGAGGGCCCACGGACTGCTTTCGTAATTGCGGTGGCCATCAGCAGCCGACGGCTGAGCGGCTGCTTTTGCGTGCGCCGCGTTTGAACGGCGCTGCCGATCACTAATCAGCCCCGTGATTCTGGTCCCGGGGTCGGCGTTTTGTTTCGAGCCGACCTCGGTGTGGCGATATTGGTGCGCAACCGACCAGCGATCGCACGGTTCGCAGTTGTTCGGCCGTTTCAAACATGGTGTGTGCGAGAGCGACCAGGCGTCACGGGGGGGCGCTCCGTCGGTGTGTTTGACCGCGATCGCTTTTTTTGAACCGATTACCGAGTCGGCGGCGTGAAGGAGCCCCCCGGCGCCGCGTGGCAAACGTCTCTGCCTCCATCTGTGCCCGTCTTCACCGAGCGTGATACCTTCTCGGGGCTGGCACCCGAGGTTTTCCGCCGCTGGTTACCGGCGGCCGCGCCAAGTAGTACGTCACCGCGCGCAGCCGACCGCGAGTGAGGCGAGAACGAGAGCTGCGTGCTCGCTCGCTCGCTCACTCGCCCGCTCCGCTCGCTTCGGAGATTTTCCGCCGCCGACGTCGTACGTGACCTTATTAAACAACATGCGTAAAAATGGCCACGCCAGTCGTGGTGGCCGTGTCCCTTTCGGACGTCGCCGGTGTCTGAGCCAACGGCGATCGGAAAAAAAAGGAGAGAAAAAAACAAGGTGTCCGGGAAAGTAAAAAAGAAAAAAAGGGGCAAAACCGAAGGGGTGCATGTCTGCCTTCGGAATTCGCGGCTGCGTCTCGTCTGCTGGCGGAGGTTTGGTGAAGGGGGGCGAGGGGGCCCCTAGGTGCGCAGCCGCTCTCGAGAAGGGAAATGCCCCGTTGTAATGAGCGAGTCGCCGGTCGCACCCCGCTCTTTTTTGTTGCCGCGTCGTCGTCTTCGGCTTTTCTTTACTCCACCTCGGGCCGGTGGTGGGGCAAAAGGGAAAGAAAAACAACGAAAATGGAAAAAGTATGGGTTGATAGTCGAGCGGTAGCCGGTTCGACGGAAACCGACTAGGTAGGGGAGATGAGAGAGAAAAGAACATAGAAAAGGGCAGCGGCTGACGTTGCATCTGGCACCATTATGTTATCCCAGCTCGAAGAGAGAGGTGCCTCGCTTTTGGGGATCCTCCTTCGCGCGTCCTTGTTGGCAACCGCGAACGTTTCCTCGTGTTTTTTGCGCGGAGATGCACCGGGAAGACGAGTTCTGGGTTGTCCAGAAGAAGCGATGGTTGCACCCGTTTGGATAACGTCTTCCGGTGGACCGGGCTCCATGATGCTTGTTGCAACGGCAAATTACTCGCTCTGTCTGGTGGCGACCATTGCCCGTCATTTGTGGCATCCATTAAAGCGGGAACTTGTTTATCAGTAGCACTCTTCTGACACCGTTGTCATACCAAGATTTCGGGAGAAGCTATGTACTTAATATATTGACGTGCACCGAGTTACTTGAGAGGCGTTTACTCACTAAACGAAGCAAAAAAGTTGAGGGTGTTTGTGATGTCGTTAGAAAGCTTCGGAATAACACCTTTGACTCTGCGCCATGCCAGTTTTGGTTCAAGCCAGCCAGCATCACAAACACATGAGCAAGGAAGAATTAATACTGTGAGTGATCTTGGTATGACAGTGTTTATTGGCACAAAGGTTCCAACAGCAGTATGACTAGGTGAAGGAATTGCATTGCAGCCACATCCACTGCCCAGCAGAGATGTTAGTTGTGCAAATTGTAAACACTGACTAGGAGGCACTAGTCACCATCCTGGGCACTAGTCACCATCCTGTTGAAAAGGTTTAGACATATTCATACATCCATTGATGAAACAGCAATCACACTGTTTCATCTGCATCAGTTAACTATGGCAGAGGGAGAGAGATGGTGTCTATGAACCTGGAATTGTCAGGGAATTTCAAAGCATCTGGAAAAGTCAGGTAATTGTATAGTAAATTGTCAGAAAAATTGGTTAAATCAGGAAAAACAACTGATGTGGGCGGCAGTCACGAAGTGGGAGGGTATGGTAGTGTGGATGGCCTTCGGACTGCCCGTGGCATCATCGGATAGCGTTGAGCCACCACCCGATTCATTAGATTAAACAGGAACAGCCTGAACAGTCGCTGCAACCCCATCTTCTGCATTTTCTTTTTTTTTAATGACCAGAGGATTTAATGGAAATATTGGGAAAAAAACCTGAAAAAGTCAGGGAATTTGACAGAATCAATTTGGTAAACACTTGGGAGAGAGGAAGTAAGTTGTTTTAAAGAGCTTGGCTGTCTTAAAATCAGCAGTTCATTATTAAGAGCTCTAACACCATTTAAATGTAATGTTAGCAGTTGGGAAGGTGTCTACATTTTGTAACTTTAAATTTGGCTAAAGCCTTACCCCTTCAAAATTAATGTAAACAACTTATATTTAGTGGCAACTTAGTTCTCATGAACTGGAAGCAGTCAATGGAAAATTTCTGCTGCCAAATATAATCCCCAAGGCTTATTATATGGAATTTATGACCCAGCGTACACTTGATTGTAAAGTCTAGCTCTTCTGGGAAATATTTCAAAAATTGGTCCTACAAGTTCGCAAAATATTATGCCCGAACTTATACCTTCATGTGGAATAGATCATTATGTGGGACAAAAGCATGGTTGTTCCTTTCTCACAATTACCCTCTAGTTTTCTCCACTGATAGCAGGAAATAATTAGATGATTCTGAGGTTTCCCCATGAGGTTTGTCTCCTTACAACAGCCCAAAAGTGCCTATGCTCTTGCCCCTTCTCACACCTGACAAGGTAGAAGGTATAGCACTGGTCCCTAGAGCTGCAGAATGTGGAGAAAGTAGGGAAGCACAGTCCCTGCAAAGCATGGGCACATTCTCTACATGGAACCGTGATAAAAACCTAACCTGTCCACGTGATAACCACTTACAAAGCAAGAATATTACTCAATGCATTGTTCTTAGGAGGTTTTGTCTCCTAGTTTTTAACAGGCTGTACATTTTGAAGTGCAAACTTTGCATTCTATAACAATAACATAAACCTGTTGGAGGCCTGTCACCACGCTGTCACAGAAAGGAAGCAAGGTTTGGATTGATCGATTTGCTATTCAGTCAATCCAGGTCACAAGGCATACAACAACAAGGGCCAAGAGACACCAAATTTAATGTCAACTTCTGATGTTTATTTTATTTTATATGTTTATTTATTTGTACCCTCAGGGCCCGAAGGCATTATGGAGGGGATGGGATTATGAACTACAACAAAGTAAACAAAACAAAGAACTCATGAAACAGGTTCAGTAATACGGTTACAGCATTTTTAAAATCAACAGAATTAAGGATTGTGGCAGTGGATGTGGGAAGGTGATTCCACTCAATGGAGGTGTTAGGTATGCATGAAAGTAGGTATTTGTGGGACACTGTGGAATCCCAACTTTATGTAGGGGAACGCTGCATAATATGTAGAATGGTTCCAATAGAAGTTAAAATTTCAAGATTGGATTGTGCAAAAAAAATTTTAAAACAAACACGAACAAGAAATATTTCGATGTAAGTGGAGAGTAGACGAAGATATTTTTGATAGACGTTATGCTCGATGTACGATAGAAATTAGAAAGAATGAAGTGCGCAAACCTATTCTGAACAGCTTCCAAGGTGCCGACAAGATTCTCACTGTTAGGCTCCCAGACAGCAGAAGCATACTCCAGTTTGGCCCGACAAATGTTTTGATGAGAGCATACCTTTATTTAGATTCTCGGACACTATTTGCTCATTCTAGTAAGTTGAGAGTAAAGCACGCTCCTGGACAACAGCAGCCATCTAAGGTAAAACGGCTAGTGCCAGAAATGATTGTCTTAATACACATCCCCTTTAGAGTGGTGCCTGTGCACACTGGCTGCTTATATTTCTTCGTGCTGAAAGAGCAAAAGCAGTTTTACTAAAATCACCTATTGGCGGGTCCGTGTTTAACTTGTATTTACCAAGTACCACTTCTGTTAAGTTGTCCGGTTCTGGGCTGGATGGATTTTCGGTGATGCAGTGAAATGCCGGTAACAATTTCATGGGGATACTGTTTCGGTAGTTCCTAGGACAATTTCTAGGAACTATGTGACTATTGTGTGATGACTCTATGTTGTGCATGAATGGATCCTTAGCTGCACCAGACGTATTCCTGCTCCTTATATAAATGTTACCGTAGAATACCGCGCATCCGCCCATTCCACATTAAGCACCCATATCCAAATTTCTAAGATCTGAGGAAATATGCGCAGTACATTTATATGTAAAACTGATGACAGGACAAGCGCCCATTTCCCATTTCTTCACGATTGTCTCTAAATTTTAAGTGGGCGCTTGCCCGGTATTTTACGGTAGTTTTGCGCAGACACAAACACTATATAAATTTGTGCTAACGTGTCACAGCTTGGGCCATGTTATATTTTCACTTTAAGCAAAGATCCTCGGAAATAGCATGGTTTCCTCAGTTTTGAGTAACTCGTTAGAGTGCGTCAATTTGCGGAGTAATGCCCACATAGTTGCTCCTGCACAACTACTCGTGCTTTTTCAAAATATTGAAAACGATAGGTATGTGACAGAACAAAGTTGAGCAGTTTA